GTTTGTCTCATATGAATGAAGTGCAATCGCACAATAATAATGGATTATTTCGAACAAGAAAATCTTATGTAAGTTTTGATTCAATAGAAGGATCGAATATAACTTTTATTTAGAAAGATAAAAAACGATATGGTCGTCTATTCATACGACGTTCAAAAATCTACCATTCACTAACAAATAATAGTCTTTCTCAAACAGTACAATTAAAACATAGACGTATAAATCGAAAACGATTTAATGATGGTGGTGGTGGTGATGAGAAAATGTTTCCGTCATTATCAAATGAACGAAAACATATTGATTTTACTGAACTTGAACATATTTTTGATAATGCTATTCGAAATCGTGTTCCTCTCGAATTATATAAAGAAAAATCTCCAACAAAACAACAGGATTATCTTCCTGTACAATCCATTCCTAAATTAACAAATAATCGAACTGATGCACGAATAGAATTATCCAATCAATCATTTTTACAACCTATTAAAGACAATAGTTATTATTTTATGAAATATCGTAAAATACTTTTAGCGATCACTCTTGTTACATTATCAGCTGCTATCGGTTTTGTTACTGTTTTTCTATTTTTTAAATAATCAAGCGCCTTATCTATTAAATTATATAAAGAAAAAAGACATCATTCTCTCAAATGATAGATCTACTTATTTTTCTTCTTATTTAATATGTCTACAACAAATTTATCGAATAATAATAATGAAATTTATGAAAAAATTCAACCATTAAAAACAAAGAAAGATCAAGCACATGGTGATGATACACATAATGAATTATTTTCATATGAAAATCAACAGATACCGCATGTATTTAAAAATCAAACAGGTATTTCATTTTTTTTATTAAGTTGAAGGAAAGATATTTGATGTGATAGATATTTCACCAATATCCTCATGTTCAAATGAACTTTCTTTCGAAAGAGATATGCGAATTACGGATACATCCAATGAAGCATTCAAAACAGATGACGAAGATCGAAAAAGTAATTATAGAGGTTATGACTCTGAAAAAAAGATGAGTGTTAAGGTGCAAGATTTATATGAATAGGAAACTTTTATGTATTAAATTTTAGAGCAAGATCTAATCATAAGCGATGTTTCATTACAACAACAACGATTACCTAATGATGAATGTGAATATGAAATCGATTTAGGTAATGGTTGGATAACAAAATCTAGTTCATCTTATCAATCTGATCCTAAATATCAACAACGATCAACTTCAATTATCTCCGGTGATTCAATTCATTCAATGAATACATATCAAATTCCTTTTACAAATACATTTTATAGACAAGAAAATTCAATTGATCATTATGATAAATCAAATATTTTATTCAATTCACATAATTATATTCAACAACGATGGCCACAACTTTCGCTTAGAACATTCACAATTTTCAGTATCGGTACAACGACTCTTTTATGTGTGATTGTTCTTATAATTCTTGTCTTTTGATTTTATATCGAAAAATAAATTTATTTTCTTTGTTGTCATGTAAATAAAATTATTACGAAAAATTCTCTTTTCTTTTTTGTTTCATGTTTTAAATGCCCTATATTGGGCATCATCGAAATTATTCAGTCAAAAAAAAATCGATTCATTTCGGTCGATGTATTAAACGGCAATTCATTCGACATTTGTCTTCTCAATCATCAAATGATTTTTTCCTATCACAACAAAGCCATCACAAAACGTTAAATTTAAATATGTCAGCATTAAGAGAATCATCACCAAAAGCAATGCTAACAACATTTAATCACCATCAAGAAATACCACAAGCACCACCATTACCAATAACTTTCAATGAAAAACTTTCATCTGAAACATTAAAATCAACTGATTTCTCTAAAGAAATCAAAAATCATACAACTTCCATAACACCATCAGGTGAAAAAAACATTAATATTACTAAAACTAACTTCGACAATCTATTAGGTACTGATTTATCACAATCTATGTTGATTCGACCAAGTCAAATCACTGAACCTCCACCAATTATACAAGTAGCAAAATCTAAAACTTATTCAAATCCTATTACGAAATCAAATTTACGTAATCGACGTCGAACACCCTTAACACCTGATGTACTTGCATTAACAAAAGTTCGTCGTCCCGAGCATATTAAATCAAGTATTGCACAACGAATTGAAGAATTAAAACAATCTTCATTAATGAATAATCAAATATCTGATGAAAAATCTTCACTAAATACTGATCTTGCAATAACATGTGAATATAAAAATACTGAATTAGAACGTCATTGGCTTACAGAACAAACACAATTGAATTCTCCTATTCAATTTATCAATACAAATAATTCACTACAACTTAACAATCGTTTATTTACTATACGTTCAATTGAATTTTTAAATAATACAAATGTACGTTTTTATGCTCAAGAAAAATTTTCCGATGAAAAATATTTAAAACAAATAAGTATAATAACTATTCTCATTCTAAGTATATTACGTTTAATTGAAAATACTTTATCGAATTTATCTATACCGGGTGTAGAAATTCTCTTAAATATTATCTATGTTTTTATTTTTCTTACAATTGCAATTATTCTTTTAACAAATCAAAAATAAACATACCTGGACCATATGGATATATATGTGATACAGCTACACATTCGTCATTATTACCACCAAGTAATGCTATATTACAATTTTGAAAGATATGTACTGAATCAACAAGAATATCACGATCGGATAAACGATCAGTCTAAATAAAACTCAGTTAATCTAGCGTGTTTCATATCTAAATTGAAAACTTACAATAGTATCAACTTGATCTTCATTATCTTTCATTCTTAATGCGTAAAGTTGAAGAGTTTGTTCGAGAAATAAAGGAAAATAATCATCAACAGATTGTAATTGTTCAAGTATTGATACATCATTTACCTTGAATTGAAAAAAAATTCTTATTTAAATTTCATTTTTCAAAAATATTTATGATATTTTACTCTTCTTTGCATTGTGAATTTTTTATTCTTACGAAAAATCAAATAAATGTAAAAGATGCGCTTGCTGCTTTCTTAAACTATGGAATAAATCAATTCGTTCTTATATTAACCAATGAAAAAACAAGTTTTTTCGCCTCCTAAGTGTAGAAGAAAAAGAAAAAAAAAAGAATCATTCTTATTTATATCATTTATAAAATTCAACGAACATTTGATGGGCCAAAAACTTCTTTTAATCATCGGTTTATTTGCTCTTGCACACGCCGGTTATTCAGCTGCACAACATCGTGTATACGTTCGTCTAACTGAACAACAATTTGAACGTTTACCAGCTGATATTATTGTTCAAACATTAATTGCATTTCTTGCTTGTTGTATTGGTACAGTACAATTATTTGGTAAATTCAAACCAATACTTATAACAGCTGAATGGCAAAATAAAACTTGGGATACAATTGGAAATCGTCCATCATTTATGACATTTAATCATCGTGGTAAAAAACTATTTCTTTGAGAAATAAAAAAAGCACACACATCTTTTTCTATTCATTTTTTTATCGTTTTGTTTGTCTCTCTAACGTTCTTCTGTTTCCTTTCTTTTTTTTATTTGTGTTTATTATATTCCAAAAAACATTTTTTTCATTTTCATGGAAGTTTGTGTTGATAGCTTTGAATCAGCTTTAGCTGCTGTTCAGGGTGGTGCTCAACGTATTGAATTATGTAGTTCACTTGATCAAGGTGGTTTAACACCATCACTTGGTTTATTAACATTAATTCGTCGACATTTACCATCAGAATTAATTATATTTGTTATGATTCGTTGTCGTTCAGGAGATTTTGTTTATGATAATAATGAAATAAATGTTATGAAAGAAGAAATTCGTTCATTTATACAATCAAATCAACGTATCGATGGTTTTGTATTAGGTTTACTTAATCCTGATGGTACAATTGATATTGAAAATTTAAAAAGTTTAATTGAACAAATTCCAAAAGATTATTCATTAACATTTCATCGTGCATTTGATTTTCTTGCTAAATGGCAAAAAAGTATTGATCAATTAATTGAACTTGGTTTTCATCGTATTTTAACTAGTGGACAAGAAACAACTGCATATTATGGAAGAAAATCTATACGTCAAATGATTAATTATGCCGATAATCGTATTATTATCTTGCCTGGTTGTGGTATAAATGTAACTAATCTTGAATCAGTTTTACGTGAAACAGGTGCAAAAGAATTTCATTCATCAGCACGTATACGTAAACCATCAAAAATGATTTATAAAAATTTTCAAAAGAGAATTTCTTTAAATGGACAAGCTAATGATGATGAAGATAATTCAATTCAAGTTACAGATAGAGAAAAAGTTAAATTGATGATGGATATATATAAAAAAGTTTTTTACAAATAAAACTTCTATCTTCTCTCTTTTTTTTTTTCTTTCATTGTTGTTATTGTCGTGTTTTGGAAAAAAGAAAATGTTTTGTGTTATGTTCTTTTGTTTCTTTTTTCTTAAAGATGAAATGATTCGTCGTATTCTATTAAATAATATATCTCTCTGTTCGACACAATCATCTTATTTATTATCATTATGTAAGAAACAAAGAGGCTCATTTGCATATTATCATAGTGATTCAATCGAAGAACCACCAGATGAACCCGTATATGAAGAACAACGACTTTCATCATATGAGGCAACAAAGATTTTGCGAACACATGAAGCTAGTATTGATCTCGAAGCAAATTGTCCTGTAAAATATTATGAAGTGAATTATCTTGGCGCTAATAATCCGCCGGGTATGTCGATATGACAAATTTCTCATGAGAAATTTAACGATATTTTCATTTGAATGTGAAAATTATCAGTGTGGGTCTTAAACTGATTATAGAAGAATAATGCATTTGATAGAGAACATGTCAAATGCAAAGCATCATTTTCTCGACATTATCCCAGTGATAAAATATTTCATTAGTTTTTCTTTTATATACGTAATTATCATGCATTTTCTTAGAGGATCGACAAGCTCAAGCTCGTATACGTTCTATTGATTCGTACATGTATCTTTTCGGTGTTTTTGATGGTCATGGTGGTCCTTGGTGTTCGGATGCTGTTGGGCAATCTCTTTTCGAATATATTGCTGTTTCATTACATTCACCGGATGAATTAGAACCTATACTACGCAAAGGTAAAACTATGACAAATAGCAATAAAAATTCTAGTCAAAATTCACGCAATATTTCATCATTACTTCTACGTTCATATTATAATGCATATAAAGATGCACGCAATTCAAAAACAAAAGAAGTTCATCAAAATAATTTATTAAAACATATTGAAGAAGTCTATACATCATTCGATAATGATAATACGGATATAATGAGTGCATTAGAAAGTGCATTCATTAAATTAGATCGAGATATATGTACTGAAGCAATACCAAATGCGGCAGAAGAAATGAATGAAGATTTATTACATATAAGTACTGCTGGTTCATGTGCATGTGTTGCATTAGTTAAAGATGCTGATCTTTATATCGCTAATTGTGGTGATGCACGAGCAATTCTTGGTAAAGTTTTATTTTAATATATGCAAAATATTTAATTCTATTTTCTATCCTATTAGGTACAATTGATGATAATGGTAATCCATCTGTTGTATCGCTTTCGATTGATCATAATGTACGTAATGAAAATGAAGTTAAACGTATTTTATCTGAACATCCATCAAATGAATCACATTCAGTAATTCGTAGTGATCGTTTACTTGGTTTATTAATGCCATTTCGTGCATTTGGTGATATACGTTTAAAGTGGCCAATAAATTCTCTTCGAGAATATTTACAACCTTATTATAAAAAAGGAGATGCTATACCACAATTTTATTTTACACCGCCTTATTTAACTGCACGACCTGAAATTACCAAACATAAATTAACTAAAAAAGATAAATTTCTTGTTTTAGCAACTGACGGCCTTTGGGATTTATTATCACCAGAAAAAGTTGTTGAACTTATATTTAATCATCAGAAAGGTATACAAAGTTTTGATCGTTTTATATTAAATAAAACTGGAACGAAGAAATCATCATTAAAATTAAAAGAAATAAGTGAATTATTAACTGCACGACAACAGGCAATCAAAAATCAACCAATAGATCAAAATTCTGCAACTGATTTAATTCGTCATGCACTTGCGTTTACATCTAAAGGACAATTTGATAGTAAACTCTTATCGGATGTATTAACATTTCCTAATCCACGCTCAATTCGTGATGATATTACAGTAACAATTGTTTATTTCGATCAAGATTATATTGATCAAATTGATACAAAAGAAAAACAAACTGGAAAATAATTCGTTTTAACGCAGTACATATTTATAAAGTCAATAGAATAGATCTTAGTTATAATAATATTTCAGCGCGTATATATTTGATTTTCTTCTATTTTTTTGTTAAATTTAATCTGAATAAAATAATAAAGATGCGGCAGCGATTTCCTTTTGTACCATGATAGTTATTGAAATAATAATGATGTCACAAACAGATATGAGTACTGATGTAATTGAAAAGAATAATAGTGATTTATTGAGTGGAACATATCCAATTAAAGTTATGGCTTATAAAGTAGATACACCATTATCGATATCAACATTAGGAAACGGAAATAATTCAATGAATTATACAATTGAATTACATATTGGTGAACGAGAAAAAATTGGTCAAGGAACTTTTGGGTATTGAATGTTTTGTGTATATTAGAATTATTTTGAAGGTATAAATTTCGAATAGGAAAGTTTATAAAGCAAAATTATTGACTACGCAAGAAATTGTTGCAATAAAAGAAGTTGAAATGGAAGAGAAATTTAAATCTCGTGAATTAGATATGCTTAAAACAATGATTCATCCGAATATAGTTCGATTAAAATATTTTTTTCATTCATCTTCATCAATAAAAGATCTGTTATGTTTGATTATGGAATTTATGCCAATGAGTGCTCATCGTTTAATCTCAGATTATCGACGTAATCATAAAATACTTCCATTATTTTATATAAAATTATTTTCCTATCAAATGTTACGAGGTCTCGGATATTTACATACACAAGGCGTTGTAAGTAGGTATTTGTATAAATAGATTTGTTTTTATTTAAATTCATATTTATTTCATAGGCACATCGTGATGTTAAACCTGCGAATATGATTGTTGATTATGAAGCTGGAATATTAAAAATATGTGATCTTGGAAGTGCAAAAAAATTAAATAAAAATGAAAAATCTGTTTCATATGTAAAAATGAAATGAATAAAAAGTTTTTCTTTTATATTTATTTCTCTTCTAGGTATGTACTCGTTATTATCGGTAAGTTAAAAACAAGTACCGCTCGTCCGAGGATTCGCTTAGCTCTTTCTCGTAGAAATCCATTTTGTGGAAAAACAAATAAAAACCGTGAAAAATTGATTTTCGATGTTTTTTTGACCTTTCCCCTCCACACCATGGTTGAATATTTTAAAACAAATTTAGAGCTCCAGAATTATTACTTGGTTGTACTGAATATACAACAGCTGTTGATATATGGTCAGCTGGTTGTTGTCTCGCTGAATTTTTAAATGGTTATGCTATATTTCGAGGGATTGATTCTAGTGATCAAATGTATCGAATAATAAAAATAATTGGAATTCCAACACGTGATGAATTACGTGAAATGAATTCACGTTATACAGGTTCAGTTGATTTAACTATAATTACATTTACACCACGTACATTACGTGGTTATTTACCTGAACATACACAAGAATCAGCATTTATTCTACTTGAACAATTATTAAAATATAAACCCAATGAACGTATAATATGTCAAAATGCACTTGCATCTGAATTTTTTATTGAATTAAAACAACGTTCGATTTTCTTACCAAATAAACGTATTTTACCATCATTATTTAATTTTTATGATAATGAATTATCAAAACATTCACATTTATATTCAGCTATTGTACCTGATTTCATACGAAATAATCTTGCTGAGATACATGAGATTGATAATCATACGTCATCATTGAAATAAATAAATTTTCTTTTTTCTCCTTTCTGTATTATAAATGTGTTTTTTTCTCACATGATACACTTTTATTGACATACCGCGATTATACTTGTATGATGAAGATACATCGTCGATTTCGAGTCGCAAAAAGTGAGAATGATAAAGAACATTTAATAGAAAATAAATCTGAACCTAATCATTCAAAAGTATGATTTTTTTATAAGTTTTATATTGTAAATTTGAATAGATTTTATTTAGATACGACGTGTAGTATGGAAATTTGCAAAAGGAACATGGAAAGCATTTAAAATTGGTTTCAAAACAAGTGTCACTAATCAACCATTTTCGGTTGCCCTTGAACCAACAGCGATAGCGACAACTGTACTAGAATATCAAACATACAAAAGACAGCGACATCATTGAGAATATGTCAGATTCATTTTTCTAATATAAAAACGCTTTATTATCATAGTTTATATCTGATAAAAAAAATACAATACATAAAACTATCTGACTAGTTGTTCTTTATATATCTAAGAAGAAAATAATACTAAATATTATACGTATAAGCACCGGGAGTTGAAATATCTAAAGTTGAAGCTGATTTGCATAGATAATCAATATCATCATCGTCATATAATGATTCATCATTAGGTGTATGTAATTCAATTGTTGAAAGTGTTATTGTTTCATTAATAATTCGTGGATCAATATGTGTATCAAAACCAAATGAACCAAATGGTCTTCTTGATTGTCGTCCACTACTATGATCAGATGATGGAGTTGTTGATGATGGAACAATATTTAGAAGTAAATTATGTGATGGTCGTTTACTTGATATTGGTGTAACCATATCTTCATAATCATGTTCTTTAGCAGTTTTATTTTCAATAGTTGAAAGTGTAGGAGGAAAATGAAATGTTGGTATAACTTGAGCTCGTTCAGCACGAAAAGTAGAACGATCAATAAGAGGAGATAAAGAATGTTTTATGATTGAAGTAAGTCGTTGAGAATAGGGTGTTTTTTGTGAATTAGTACCAGTTGCATCGTTATTTCCGGAAGATGATTTCTATTAATAATTTGAAAACAAAAATTATACGTCTTTTCATATTTATATATCTTACTGCTGATTCACAATGTTGTTCATTTGTTTTATGCTTATTTTTTAAAATAGAATGTGTAGAAGTTACTATACAGCTAGTAATAGGTGTAATCGGCAAAGGTGGTACTTGCGGAAGATGTTCAACCTATTTTAGATACAAAAAAAAGCGAAATTAATATATATAGAATTCTAATATAATATACATTAGATAATATATGTTTATTTTTATCATAAATATCATCATAATATCCACTTGTAGTTGCTGTTTGTGGTTGTCTTATAGTTCGTTCATAATTATTTAATGATGTTCTTGAAGTAACATTCATAGGAGTCATATTATTTGTTAATGGTAAAGATGAACCTGAATCACAATATTGTCGATTAATTCTATCCGTATTTGTTAGTTTTGGTACAAGTTGTTGATTATTCTTTGTTGTTTTTTGTCCAATAACCCATGGATGTATTTTTGCCCATGAGCTAAACCAGTTAAGATCATATCGACTATCAAGTACACCCGGCATTCGTTTATCTAGATAAGCAAAAACTTTTTGTCGTTTTGTTACGGATTCTTGTGTAGCTGCCCAATGTACTGGTGTTAAATTTGCATGATCTTTTATTCGTAAACATTCATATAGATGTTTATCTTCTTTTTTTTGTTGTTGTTGTTCTTCATCTTGACAATCAAGATCTTTTCTTATGGATAATAATAAATGTAAAATAGGTACATTTGCTAATCGACATGCAATATGAATTGCTGTATGTCCAGCAGAAAGACGTCTAGAAAAATTCTTATAAAAATGAAGGAAACTTATAATAATTAAAACTTACAATTTCGGATCGGCTTTATTTGCCAAGAGACATTCAACAGAAAGTACTTGATTATAATACGTAGCTGTCGATAATGCTGATTCACCATAGATATTTAATGCATTAATATCAACATCTATGAATAAGTTATATATCGATCATATAGTCAGACATTTGATGAGTACGTATCTCATGTCATTACTCACTATGTATTTGTAAAGATTTTTGAATTTTAGATGTTTGACCTAATCGTGCATACTGACAAAATTCATCGGCATTGGCCATGATCTGAAAACACAAACCTTGGGGTTTTTTTTTGGCCTGATTTTTGTTTAGTACATTGCATTTATAACTTAGTTTGTAAACAAATATCAATCATGTTTTTGTTTTTCTTTATAAACATACAACTAACGTTATTTTAACACAAACGATTTAATTGTTTCAAGTAGAAACACAGAATACAAAAAAATATATAATATAAGGCAATGTTTTATGATGTTCTATACGGATGACTACGCTGTGATCTTGTTATAGATGGTAATTGTTTATTTAAACGATTTCTTCCTAATGTTGAACTAGTCGTTGATGAATTGGATGCAATCGATTTTGTAGTTGCTGTTGATGATGCTGATGATGAAGTTTTCTTTTCACTTCGTCGTTGTGTTTGTTCCATAATTAATGGCCAGAAAATATCTGATGCAAGGGCATTTACTGTACGATCATGTTCAGCACGTGATTTCATTGGTGAAGATTCTTTATGCGTTGAATGAAGTAATGTCAGATAAAGATCACTAACACTATCATTATTTGTTGTTGTTGTTGTAGTTGAATTTGATATATCTTCACTAACACTAGCATTATCATTATTTGTTGTTGTAATTAAAGTTGATATATCTTCATTAACTGCTGGTTCAGGAAATGCTTTAAAAAATTCATCAAAATCTTCATCTGCACTATTCGATGGCATTGATGTATCATCAAAACTAATTGTATTTGTATTTTGATATGGAATTGATGTATCAATGATTATTTGTGAGTTCGATATTATTTGTGATGCTGATGATGCTGAATGTGGTGGAGATAAATATGTATGATTATCTGAAGTTGTTGTTGTTGTTGGTATTTGAGTAGCATCTTTTATTGATGTTGATTGATTACTAAGCCAAAGTGTAAGAAATTTTCCTTGACTATTTATTGTTGATAATCGACTTGATGTATCTATTCCATCAACTTTAAGAAATTCCGTATCTAAAAATAATTAGGAATTTAAAAATAAATAATTTCAAGAGAAAAGAAACAAACCTTGTCGTAAATATACATTGATTATTGAACTTGATGTTAAATCCAATTGAATAATATAAACTAAATCATATACAACACCTTGTATATTTGTTAATTGATCAGTTGGTTTAACATTTAAACAATTTACTGTTAAAGCAAGACATGGACTAGATCTAAAAGTAGAAAAAGAGAATAAATAAATTATTTTTCTTTTTTCATTAAACTTACTGTTTAAATGTTAATGTTTTCGATTGATTTTGATCTCCACATCGAAAACAAGCACACGATGTTTGACTTGATTCAGTCAATAATGTGGTTCGTATTTCTTTAATATCATGAATAACATCAGTTATACTAAAATAATAATAATAAATTTCGAATATAATTATTATTCGAAGGAAAAAAATGTTTAATTTTACCTATTCGAAATTGTACAATCACATTCTTGACATTGACAATGTTCGTTAACTTCGGTTGTAAATAACTCTTTAAGAAAAGAATCGAAACGAAAAAGACGTCGAACATTCTGTATTATATTCGTATGTAAAGAATTTTGTCTACAATAATTAATTGAAAGATTAGTTATATATGTATGAAAATAATAATAATAATCAATAAATACTACCAATTAACCAGCGGTACAGACTCAACAGCTTTTTACCCGAAAGCCGGATTCCGTACACGCAAGACAACAATATGTGAGCGTCATCAGATAGGGCTCGAAGCCTGTTTTATTCAAGCTTATGGCCACCATCCGACGTCAAGCTACACACATCGTTATCTTTTGATGAGACTCTGCCTAACCTATAATAATAAAAATAAATTATTTATTATAAAAAGATAGAATTTATTAATGTCACCCGAAAAATTCAATTTAGGTTTACTTTAATTAAGTCTTAATTTTAGTGAACTCACTTTAATATATTGTGTATTATATTGGAATATTCATCAGAAAGTTTAGATGGATTTGTTGTTGTAGAAAATAATGTTCGATCAAGGTTATGAAATAACGATGATGATACATTATTGTTTTGTGATGATGATGAAATTTCAATATAACGATGTAAAAGATCTGTTAAACAAGTTGATAATGTATAATAATTTAGTGAAAGCTGTCGAGCAGCAATCATGGATGACCAAATTGTTTCACTTGGTACGGACGTCATTTGTAATGTACTGCTAGGAAGTTGGCAATAAAATGAAATATGTGCTTCATTGTTTCTTCACGAGTCATGAGATTCTCCAATGTAGAGGCCACAATAACTTGGAAAATGCCGAATAAATAAAAATATTAATAAAAATGAAATAGTTTGATTTCTTTTCATAAAATTTCGATAAAAAGTTTTATTAAAATATTTTTATATTAAAATATTAATGTTAAGGTTGATTGTCATTGTGCGACCTCTATCGATAGTTTGTTAATAGATTAAATCAATGAATGAGACCAAATACGTGAGATACTAAATTGAAAGGTGATATGTCTCGATCGCTCGTTTACACAAATAAGAAAGGCTTATGGTTCATTTCTTTTTTTGTGATAGATTACAACTTTATAGTATCTAAACACGTTTTGAACAACAATTAGTAAATGATCGTAAGCTTATATGTTCCAAAGAAGAGAATATGTCACAATACATTCAATCATTTTTTATATGAATACGAATAGGACAAGGCCGGACATTTTAAAAATATGTTGGCGAAGGTTGAACAAAAAACGAAATACGTGAGTTTATGCTGATTTATGAGATATATATCCGTTATTGATGAGATATTTATTACAAATGTCGTTTGTATACTTTAGATGCAGGCATATATCATTCGATAAGAATGATTGTGACTGAACTACGTTTATTAATTTTTCTTTTTTGCATCATTTCCTTGATAACACGATCATCAATTTTTGTTGACGCGGTTGCTGGTCGTTGTTATCTATGTTCACAAAATACACTTGCTGAATGTGCTGGTAATACACAACCTGATTCACCTCTTTATAATACTATTCTTCAATATTATACTGAACCATGTAATGGTCAATGTGTTTTATTTCGAAATGAAAATACTGGAACAATACGTGGATGTTCATGGACATATGGTCATATGACATCAAAATCAACTGGATGGCATGAATTAAGTCCCGGTATACAAGCATATTTTTGTGATACTTATCTATGTAATAATGGTACATTCGATCAACCAGAAAAAGCATTAACAAAAGTAGAACCAATCAATAATGAAATTATTCCATCTTCTCAACAAACATTGAATCCTCAACAATTATTTATTCTAGCAGGAAATACTCTTCCAATTGTACAAACTGGTAAGTTTACAGTCTCATTATTTATATTCAATAATGGATTAGTGAATGAATGTAAACTGTTTCTTTTGTTTTATATACTTAGATCAACATTTACCATCTATCAACACTATATCTCATCAATTACGGCAATGTTATTCATGTACAGCTCGTTTAACTGGTTGTGGCGAATATCTAGATCCACTTTATGTATCAAAATATATTCGTCCATGTACAGCAAGTTGTATTATCTTTCGAAATCCAAATGATCATAATTGTATACATATGAAAAAATGTTTTCGTAAATCCAATATCTTTTTCTTTTAAATTATAGTAATCACACGAGATTGTTCAATATCTTGGCCACAAGTACATGCTAAAAGTGGTCTTCACAAATTACTTGGTACAGATGCATTCTTCTGTCAAGAATCTTTGTATAAAAAAATTAGTTTTTTTTTATTAATTAATTCTTTTTATTATTTTAGATGTAACGGAATCAGTTTTGACTTTATCATGGGTTTGTATTTTGTTTTTCTAAAACCTATAAAAACTAATTTGATAATCTAACATAGGTATTTTTCACAATAAATTACCAGCTGTTCTAACATTTCCGCCATCTCAATCTATTGATGATATTTTGACAACAACAACTCCAATGAATATGCAAACTATCACTGATACTTTTCCAATTCGTACAACTATTAATATTGATGATAGTGATGATGTTATATGGGATGATCCTGATTTAGATTTTGTTATTGTTGATCCTACAACAACATCAACGATTTCAATTGATAATAGTATATCTATACCTTTTTCAACTGAACTACCAGATGATGATGATCTAGAGATTATATATGAATCAACAACCATTCCACTTCAACCTATTGAACATTTTGATTTACTTAATGGATTTTCTGCAAGTAGTACTATAGCTGGTGGTGCAGCAGTTGCTCAACAAGATTCTCAGTTTAACTGGTGGGATGTAAATGAAGCATCATTAACACCATTCATTGAACCCAACCTATCTCATTTAACAGCAACAACAACTTTACCATCAAATACTGTTACAATCGTTCCATCAACTAATAAATTAACTCAACTAGATGAAAACGATGATGAATGGGCTATATTTAATACAAGTTCAATACCAATCATTACAGATTCAAATTCTGAAATTGATTTCAATATGAATGATTATTTTACTTTTCCAACAGCATCAACTATTGAAACTGTAACTAATAATACTCTACCAATTAATCCATTTTATTTTTCTAATCATGATATAAAAGAGCAATTATCCGGTTTAACTAAACCAATACCAACATTAGCAATGCCACCATTTTCTTGGATGTTACATTTAGCAAAACAAAATCAAAGTATATTACAAAGTCGACAAGCATTTATCAATAAAACTTCATTACCAATTAAGAATAAAAAGAAGAATAAGAAGAAACGAATAGAATTAAAATCAAAAATAAATAATCATCTCGAACATTTTTATGACTATTGTAATAAAAAACAATGTCAACATGGTGGACGTTTAAATTCCGATTGTTTATGTATTTGTTTACCTTCATATAGTGGAAATCATTGTGAAATAGGTACACATATTTAATTGATAATAAAACAAAAAAAAAGGTATATTTGATATTTTTTTTCTTCTTCTAGTACATTGTAATCAAGAACCAGCACATATTTGTGATTTCGTACTTGATCATGAATGTAAAAGTGATTATGTTCGTTATTTATGTCCTAGATTTTGTCAGATGACGATTTGTTCTTCGACTAAATCGACGTAAGTGATTCTATCGCTGCTGAATTCACATTCTTTTTTGCAAGAAACTCGTGCATTTGCGTTCGTTATACATATAATGACGTTAAATGTTTATTGAAATGTATATGAGTTTATGTCTGCATTTCTATGTATTCTGTTCGATCTTCAACCTACTCTCACATTTTCGAATGCGTATTATCATGATCATCAGTAACATAATCATATGATGAAAATAGAAAGAATGAATATAAAATGTAGGAAATTTTGAAAAATTGCGTCATTTTTTTTTTGTCCTCTCCTGCTTCATATTGAGCCTTCGGTTATATTCCCCCTACTGTTGAGAGACAAGAGAGAGAGAGAGAGGAAAAGAGAACGAAGAAGTATAAGACAACATTGAATACAATCATACAGAATAAAATTCCGTTTATAACATTTTCTCGTATACTCATACTGTTCTATAATATTTTTTCTTTCGTTCTTACTGCTCTTTCAAAAACGAGAAGTAAGAAGAGAAAAAAAAAAGTGAAAAGAATGACAATACAACATGTCTATAGTCGAGTGTCGAACGATCAAGTACCTTATAGCTTCTATATTCTTTCGTTTTAGACACAATCATTAAGAAGAATACAATGACCAACCAACAAATTTCACCACCACCCCGTGATTTTCTTTGTCCAATAACCCGAGAAATTATGCAAAATCCTGTGTTACTTATTGAAGACGTAAGTTTTTTAATTTAAAAAAAGTAAAACTTAATTTATTTAATCAAATTCCTAGGGTCGTTCATATGAATTATATGCTTTACAACGTTGGTTACGTGATCATAATTCATCTCCAATGACAAATAAACCTTTACGTGATCGTCGTTTTGTACATAATTATAATTTAAAAAGTGCTATTGAAGAATATAATGCTCAACTAGAGACACTTTCTTTAGCAAATAGATTTCTTTCGTTTAATATTCGTTCTGGTCGTATACCATCAGAATGGAATAATAAACCAACATTAAAAATTCGTCTTAGTCTTCTTGGTGGGTCGAATGTAGGTAAAACAACACTTGCTCGTTATCTTCAATATGGTGTTCAATCATCCTTTGTACATTTAAATACTTCAGCAACAGTGGGACCTGATCTTGTTTTTTTTTATTTGGATCAATTATTTGAAAATAAATATGTTATGATTATTCAACTTTCTGATATACCCGGAATGGAACGATATGAATCATGTTGTGATAATCATTTTCGTAATTGTCATGGTGCACTTTTATTATCAGATTCAACAGAAATTGATTCACTTGAACGTACTGAACTTTATTGGTATAAACAATTACAAATAAAAGGAAAAGAATATGTTGAAGCTATACTTGTTTGTAATAAAATTGATCTATTTGAAGCAAATTGTGATGCAAAATATCGACGAATTTTTTTTCAACGTGCCGAACATTTTGCATCAACACATAATATGCCAATTTATCATATATCAGCATTACGTGGTGATAACATACAATCGATGTTTAAACAATTAATACTACGTATTTTACAAAATAATGCATTATTACAACATATTAAAGAAACCAATCTTGTTCATGAACAAACATTAAATAATAAAGATTCAGTACGACGTACATCATCCATTCAACTTTCAGCTCAACCATCAGCATCATCGATACAAAATGATGATGACGATGACAGAACTTCATCGGGAGATTGCTGTAAATTTGCTTGATTGTTTTTGTTTTTTGTTTCTAGAAATAGTATGGGGGCCAGTAACGATTTCTGATATTGTATGCAAAATAAAAAAAAAGAGGTTTCAAATTTTTACAAAATAAAATGTATTGATAACAAAGAATATCATTCTGACTCTTTTACTTTGATTAAAAACTCATCAGTTTTTCTTTCATTAATTTATAAAAATCGGTCATGAATTAAACTTCTAACAAAATGTCTATCACTTTCAAATTACTTGTTACGGTTCACAATTAGTCTCTATCAAGGTATCTGTCACGGTTTATAACGCTTGTATGATTTTACGTGTTACGGTACATGGACAATGAGAGAGACTAGAAGAAAGGAAGTCTGATTTATTACTTCTACATTCTAACGTTTCTTTTACAATGAACTTCAAAAAAAATATCTCACTTATGTGTACACACAATATCTTGAGAAGTGGAGTGGGTGTGGATGTAATCCCATTTTTTATTTATACTCACACACATCCACATACACTCAAGGTTTAAGGCTTAATGTAAAAAAAGTTTGTCATTATGATCATAATTATTGATACTATTATACTGAACATGATCGATAGAAATAATTTGTTGTTAACTGGAAATGGTCGAAAATATTATAACAAGAGACATATGTTAACCTATGGAAACGAATACTTTCGCAAAAAGAAACCCTCCATGTTAATTAAATCGGTCGGAAGCTGCTGGTGCTAGCCATATCGGCTATTTTCACTTAGTTTACGAGTTTAAATATTTGTTAAATATGGATGGCATCGTAAAAATAATCATTAGGTACAGTACTCGCCAATAGAGAAAATTGTAGGCGTATCTAATATAATATGTTGTAACATATTAGAAACCATTTTTTAAAGTAAGAATCCACGTTTGAAGGTCAGATAACATCAATCTTGCAGAAAAATCAATAAAAAAGTAAATGAAAACGAGAAAACATTTTGAATCGACAGTTTTGTATAAAAAAAAGACCACATGAAAACTATAACAAATAAGTCAAATAGTCTTGTTTTCTATTTCATTTCCAGTTTTTATGCTCATCAATACTAATTGTACGATATTATTTTCGTTATTACGTAGATATTATTGAACGTTATCAATTTTATTTGAATCAATTACCAACATCAAGTAGTGTTCTTAGCATGGGAACAGATGTTTTCTATAACTACTGTTGTCGAAATCAGGAATTCTTCCGTCTACTGGATCTCGATCCTGTTCATTATGATGGGTGTGGGTGTGAGTGTATAAAATATAAATAAATCTGTTACGACTGGTTTTGTCCCTTCTCAAGGGATGGTCATCAGATACTTTTTATCAGTGTGTTATAATCTGAGATATAGATGTTGGTGTATTATTGTTACATTTCACTTGATTCTTATTTATATCGGTTAGTTGTAACAATACACCAGATCGATCATACTTTCTCTCCCGATTTAATCAAAAGTGATCGCTACTATCTCATTTTAAAGACTTAGTTCTTCGATCATTAAGTTTGGCTAGTATCTAAACTTCGAACAGAACCGTAAGATAAATAGATTCGATAGGAGAATATCTTTATATTTTCTAAATTTAAAAAGAATACATAAGAGTTTATCTCATTGATGAGATACATCTAACTACATGATAGTTTCTTTATTTTCAGAAAACAAAGAAGAAATTAGAAGCATTGCTGAAATAAATATCGAAATGTTTTGATGTAAATTATGTCTGACTTTTCTGTGTCAGATATAATTTAACAGCAATCGCAAATGGGTTGAGGATTAACAGTATCAGAGATAAATGTGACGGCTGCTGTTCGTGCACAGGCAGAACCATTGAGTGTGACACCACCGGAGAACACGACGGATGCGTAGGCAAGAATGTTTCCTTGACAAAGACTGTTTTGGCCAAGTGTAACGCTGCTACCTACTTGCCAGAAGACGCATCCAGCCTTGGCGCCATTTATCAACTGAATTTGGCTATTATCCGCCGTCGACAATGCACTTCCAATCTGAAATATGTAAACTCCACATCCGTCCAACGTTAGAACACCTGCAGCTATTCCTATCGCGGCAGTTGAGTCGAACTTGTACACACCCGGTGTAAGCGTTTTGCCCGACAAATCAACACCCGTCATTTGACCAGTGGGTGTTGCACCCGCCAAATCGTTGTATGCTGTGCAGACATCTTTTTGAGCTTGTAGAGCGACGCCATTACCTAGCTGAGTTTTGCCGTTGATTTTACCGTCTGGATAAAAGCCAGTCAATGCGATGCTTGGACTGATTGCCATATCACCATTGATGATGGTGAAGCCAGTATTAGTCACTGTACTAGCAGCGATCACAGCGTAGTTGGCAGCACTGTTCAAATTTGGACAACTAATGGGATTAGCTGCAGCACTGATGAAACATAAAAGAACACATAAAATCATACTTGATGCCATATTGTATAGAAGATTTTCTTGAAGATAATGATATTGAGAAAGAATATGCACCTCTTATATATAGTTAGAATTTCGACTATCTATACCTATCAACCTTTTCTCTCGAACTATAACGAACAGTAACAATTGAAATGCCAATACGAGGTGTGAAGTTACAAGATAATCAAAGGTTACTTAGAAAAACACTGAAATGAAAATTGATCTTTATGAATCGTGTGAAATGTTCGTCATGCATAAACTAGCATAAATGTGTAATCTTCTATATTTTTGTTTTCTAACATTAAATGAAAAAGAAACAAAGGTCACTGTTCGTATCTGATTCATACAAATTGCGATTTAAAATAATAAATATATGATGCCATCATTCAAGGCCATATCGTGAAATCGATTCATAGAAAGAATCGAAAGTATTAATAACGCACAAAGGTATGTACCGAATGTAAACGTTCGAGTTCGGTCTTGAATTCAGTCACTAATGAAAACAAGTATTAGGAAGCGAGAAGAAATATTTAAAAACTAAATGAATAAAGACGGTGCAGCAAATTCTTAACAACATTCAAAAAAACTATTCGGATCCGATTCGTATCTATTATAGTTTAATTGAACTTTTTTAATCATCTAAAATCAGTTATTGAAGAATGAAATAAAAAAAACACAACATTCTTTTCATTCAAAAATATTTAATTTAATTCGATAGTTTGTCTTCTAATGTAAACGGTGCATCAACAAGATTAGACGTGGTAATTCTATTCTTACAGAATATTTTGACAAATAATATCACAGTTATTCTTTTTCTCTAAATAATAGAAACTACCTATTAATAATAACTTCACTTTGTTTATCTTGAATAACATAACACTCACAGAAAAATTCATTTTCTAATTTTCGAATATATGATCGCCAAAATCTCTACTGCATTGAAAATAAAATATAGTTTTCTAGAATAACATTATGTAAACTCTTATATTAGAGTGTTGGTTTGAATATGAGTGTGAAATAAGAATAATATTTAACTCTCAATTGTCATTATAATCCCTTTGTCACATTTGAAGAGAGAATCGTGGAGCCAATGGAATTATTTTAATTAAAAAGGCAGTAAAGAGAGTATAATCTTGAAGCCAATTTCTTTCGATCAGATATCATCTTCAAAAGTAATTGGAAACTAAGAAGTAAAAGAAAACTGTATATATAAACAATTATAAGTTTGCTTCATTGTTTTAATGATTTGTTATTAAGAATATAAATTCATCGGATTTTTGTTAATCTTTCACAATATATTGATGTTTCACATAGGATACTTCATTCAATTATATTAATTTAGTCGCATTGTTTGTCGAAAACATAAATTGTACTCTAATTTCTTTTTGTAAAGAGAGAGATGTATAAGACGGCAAATCATCCCACCCTTAAATCGGTTACAAAACCATACGAAGCGATACAGAATGAGATGGCAAATTTTTCTATGATAAATTCAATTTATATCAGAACTCATTTAATGATTCCACCCAGACATTACGGTCCTTTTGAGGGTATGAGTGAACATTCGCTTTTTCTTTACACTTGTCGACACCCATATCCACACTCACACACGTGATCAGGAAGATCTTCATACCTTCACCGATCCTATCATCCATCTTCACATATACTCACATCCACTTTTAAGAATCAACGTAAATCACACAGGTGTTTATTAGAAAATGAAATAGCAAAAATCCTAACTAATTAGTGCCTTGATCCAAAGAGGGCGGGTGTGGGATGTTATAAATACGATATTCGCAAAAAAATCCACACCCACACACACACCTTCTCACTTGCTTTCAATTTCTCTTCGTATTAAGTGTAATCTCAAGAACCAACTGTATTCCTCTTCTTAATTATATGTGTCGAGCAATAAGCAGCAGTATTTGTAAGATTTCTTTTTATTGTATTTGAATTTTTCTCCATGGAAGAAAAGCAAATGTGGAGAAATGCAATTTACGTGTTGATAATTATTTACTTGAATAGAATTAAATATAAAAACAGGAGCGTGTCGCAAGTGGGGTGTTGGGGTCGCGACGCCTTGCAGGAATAGAATTATTTTTGGAAGATAACCTAAAAAATTTCAAAAATTTGGGCTAACGTTCCTCAGTTTTTTGAACATCGGGACACTCCCGTATGGAAACAACGTGTTATTCGTCATTTATAATGCTTCTATCGTTGTTAATTTGTGTTTCATACGCTGAGCAGAGATGGTCATCGCGTCAGCAGCGCGGTATAAGGTTTCAGAGGAATTTACTATTTAATTTCTAGATAAAACGTTATGGTCAGAGCTTAAATGAAACTTCTTATGATTTGTATGTGTTGAATTTTACGATGATTATATTGTGTGAAAAATTACTAGACGCTTTCAGCTTATCTAAGTTAATCTGAATTTTAAATCAATGAAATTATCGCAAACTGAAAATATCCAACAATATTTTACTTCGATATCAGATGAAACGCATTCTCGATATCGATACTTGAATTAGACACATTCAAGATATACTGTTCGCAAACAATTCGTGAATAGATATAATAAATTAGGAACTGTAAGCACAATGTGTTGTACACAATAACTGAGAACAAAATAAAATCTTGACATATTTTTAATTTATATGTCATCGAATGATTGAAATGCAATCATTGAAAAAAAAGTGGCCGGTGAACAGATCTATAGGTGACATTGGAATGGTTTCTGTTTTTTTTTCATATGAATATATATATATAAAATTTGTTTGTGCGAGGAGCGTAAATTGAATTCATTCTTTTATACAACACGTATACACGAAAATATTACACAACATGACCAAGTACCGATTTGCTCGTTTGTCATTTGCCCCGCCATCATCTAAGGTAACAATATACAGAAAAACTTTCCACTATGTACATTTTCTTAATGTAAGCAACTCCAATAAGCGATTCTTGTTTGAAATCGGTGTCTCCCTAGTAGGAGTATCAGTTTAGGATTCTATATCATAGGAATACAAGTTTTTGTAATAATTTGTATTCACACATTTTTTTTCTTTTATTTTGAGACAAGTCATTATATATTTCCGAGCTCTTGTGAATGGTAACCAGCACAAAGTTCCAAATTCCCATTTCCTAATAAATACTCTTTTATTTTGGATAGTGAACGAATTCTTTGTTCTTGTCAAGTTCAAACGGTTGTCCGTGTGCATACAAACGAAGAAAGGACAGATTTCTTAGTCATGTGGTGACTAATTTTTCTCTTAACTCCATTTTTTGTGCGCAATATTGTCTCATTAATATCTCAGTCGTGTTCGAAGATGACAAGGATTGGTTAAGAAATGGGTCAGTTATCCTAAAAATTCTAAAAAATCCCTAGGTCACCTCTAAGGAAGAGTACAGGGATTTTTGCAGAAAAAACAATTTCGCATAAAATTATTCACAACATATATAACAGAACTTCGTTTGGTGGGGGCACGTTCGGATCCTCAAGTTCCGTACTACGGGGCTACTCTTGAGTCCACATATGCTGTGATATGGACGCTATCTAATAGATGTTTGTATTACAGTTGTACAATAGAATGCGCCCGATAAATAAGAGTTTTAATCACGAAATCAGATCGAGATGTTATGTGATTTGCAACAAATTACTGTATCCTTAATTAAAGCTTTTTAATGCTGTCAAAAAGTGAATGTACTATTATATCAGTCAGTAGTTCTCGATGTCGATGCGAGTATCCATTCACATAATAACTCTTAAAGGCAGATTTTAATCGATATGAAGTCTCCTGTACAGTTTAATTTCATCATAATATCACTCGAATTCGAAGATAAACCGAATCCACAGAGTCTTTCGTGGCGCATTGTAGTAGGACTGTCTTTTTTGTAGGATTTATCTATGTTTTTTCATGCACTTTTTATAGTATACTTAACTTTAGGTTAAAATCCAAAGTTTTCACATTTATTGTAAAGTAAACTTGAACAGTTAATTAGTCTAACGATAAAATTAAACATATTCACAATAATAGAATGAAGACCATAGCAACTCATATAGTGAATCTTTTCGAATATATCATTTGATGTCCAACTTAAAAGAGCATTCTCATCAACAGACTACAGTAGAATAATAGAGTAGATTTTTGAACGGTACGAAACGATCACAGAGCTATTTGTCCTAAATGATTATTGTACTCTCTGTCTGTCTTAGGTAAGACCAACTCCTAAGAAACGACAATATGTGGATAGTCCGGTTCCTTCGTTATCACCACCATTAACACCTGTAAAAATGTGGACAACGTCAACCCAAACTTTTGATCTTCCAAGATTGTCACCAGGAATACTGGTTTTACAACATGAACGAAACCAGCAAACGCTACCCATTGACCCGATACAGAAAGTGAATCGAAGCACCAACACTTCTTCTTCCATGGTGGGTGGGGCATATTTAACGTCGACATGTCCATGTCTGCAGATATGCCTTATGGCTCTTGGGACCCTTACCACTCTTGCTGCGTTGGCAGCATTGGCAATCAATATTTATTTACTGACTCACATCGCTGCACCAGTAAATGGATGCATGACTACAGGTATTTAATCTAATAGACGTTGCTTTCTATTATCTGAATTCAGAAGAGATATTCTTCTGGCGTATTGCGCTCAGGTCACACCCGGATTGACTAATATTTTTATAGGTATTACGAAAGATGCTCCCGAGACATTTGCTTTCGCGACATTTGCTTCCCACGGACATTTGCTCCCCAATGATATTTACTCTTCTATCAGATTTATTCTTCAACAGTATGAAACAGACTTTCTACAAGTTACAAGAATGGTTTGAGTGTAGGTGTGAATGTGAGTGTAAGTATGGGTGTGGGTTTGGGTGTCAGTGTATGTGTATGTGTGAGTGTGGGTGGACGATATGGATTTTGGTATGAGTACCTTAATCATAACACACCCACACCTTCACACCCACTTACACCCACGACCTCACCCTCAAGATCGACAGTTGTCAAATTTTATGAACATAATATGAATTACTAAAGTATTAGAAAATGGTGGATTCGTTGGCATAATGTTCTTTGCTTTGTTTTCAGTAACGACAACTACAAGTACAAGCACAACGACAACTACAGCTACAAGTACAAGTACAACGACAAGTACAAGTGCAACTACAGCAACAACTGCAACTACAACTACAGCGACAACTGCAACTACAACTACAGCGACAACTGCAACTACAACTACAGCGACAACTTCAACTTCAACTTCAACTACAACACCAGATCCAGGTAATAATTGGTTTTTTCAATTAATAGTTGACTATTCTTTAAGTATAATTTTTAAAAAAAGCAAGTTTTAGTTAGATATATTACTGTTCTACTTTAACTACTGGGCTGATATTGTTGAACACCTAATTCTATCTCATATTCATTAAGTTTCCAATAAATGTAATTATGTTACGTCATATAGTAGATCCGCTCAAATGCACTACAACGGAGCTTGCACAAACCTAATGCTAAAATAGAATCAGCTGGTCGATAATTTAACTTAAATAAATCGTGAATATTTCGACATACAGCTTCTCCAATGCTATAATATAAGAATACTCATAAATAACTCACTTAAAATAAGCTGATTTTAACAGTATGACCAGGTCTTCGTAAAATTTAACGAAAGGTTATGAGGATTGAAGACTCTATTTTAAAACTTGAGAGTAAAATGAGTGCCCTAATCTTTTATTTCTCGTTTTCAAAAATTGAATATTGATAAACAATCTAATTTTCACTGCAATAAATTTAGAAAGAAAATTGCTTACCATTGAAATATGAATAAGATACCTTGTTACCGAAAGGCCTTATAAATCTTCTAATGTGTTATAATTAATTTCTGAAATCGTAAGGATTGACCGTTCCGTTTTTGTTTTATAAAGCATGTGCTGCAATAAGTTTTGCCAATGGTGATTTTGAAACTGGTACATCCGCGGGCTGGACAGTCGGTGGTGGTTCACGTAATGGGGACATCACAGACAACATTTTTCCCGACGATTACTTGCCCGGTGGTTCACATTATAGTTTAACTATTGCCAATACACATTCAAGTATTGTTACTCATGGCTACGATCCAGTTCTTGGCACTTTAATGCCAAACATCGTGTTTCGAGGGAGCTATTCGTGGCGTGTTGAGGATACGGTGAATGGTGGATATGGATCTGTTCTTTCTCAAGCAGTCCATAATTATTCGTGTACGGATATATATTTTGCGTGGTTAGCGGCTTTGGAAAATGGTGGCCACACTGCAGAGCAATCGTCCGTTATGATCATCGAAGTGAAAGATTTGACCGTTGGTGACGTAATACTCAGACGCGTATACAATGCCGGAGGTTCAGGCGGAGTCGATAGTCGTTTCAATCAATCTGGTTCATACTTCTATACGCCTTCTTGGGAAATCGAGCATTTGGTTATCAACAGCACTCGCATAGGTAACAGCTTCACTTTAAGTGCACTCGCAATAGACTGCTCACAACTTGGTCATTCAGGTCGTATCTATCTCGACAGTTTTGGTGGTGTTCCATTATAATCCACTATTACGAACACGTAATTTTCATTCCATTTCACAAATTGATCTTTTTTACTTAAAAAAACGATTGATTTTATTATAGAATTTGAACAGTTGATTTAAAATGAGAATATCTTTATAATTATTCAAGCTTCAAATCCCTCTTATTCAATTTTTCAGAGTTTCTTTGCAATCTTCATGTTTTTAACTACTTCCTTTTTCTTGTTCAATTTTCTAGATTTCAAATAAATTTTGCAAATTATGAGGTTTTACCGATATGAAGCTGTGTATCAGGATAGCTGATCAAACCCTGTCGCTTCAATATTCAATCGAAACAGAAGTCACATGACACTATCATCACTTCACAGAATATAAATGCTTCCTCCCTACCCATGTCGAATGTTCTGGTATCCGGATTCCTCGGAATCCTACAGGAAAGCGGCAAAAAAATCACCGGAACATGGGAACAGTATTCCGAACGGAGATTGTCAAATTTTTCTCTGTTGAATTCCAGTCTATATTCATAGTAGAAATCTGTATGAGATGGAATGACAGTATTCCATCCCACTTGATGCTTGATCTCTAATTTTACATAGATGGGATTTTCTTATCTTAAATTCGATAGTATAAAGAAAGAAATAGAAAAATTTTCATCGATATCAACAGTTAATTTGATTATTTTCTTATCAAAAGAAAAAAATGACATCATCGAAAGTAACAACATAATAATAATAGAACTTATTATGGGATTTAATAATTTGACAAATTTTCATTTTTGAACTTTTTCGAAACCATTTTTTTTTGATCTTTGATTCTAACTTAAATCAAACTTCAGAGACAAAGACAAAAAAAACTATTTTTTTCACCAAATAATGTCTCAATCATTCGTTTCTCGAATTCATTTATTGAATTATTTAAAACAAAATATCAGATATGTTTTAGTTTTAAACGTATAAAGATTTATAACAACTAATTAGTTCTTGATCATTGTTTCTCATTACATTCAATGCTATCATTCCATGAAACATAATAATCTACTTGTCATCATCATAGTTTAGTATCATTACTATCTATAAAAAAATGTGTTTTGGCTACGAATACTTGTATTAAAACGAATGATCGTTTTTCTAGTAAAATTCTGTAGTAGAGAAATTAATCTAATTGGATTCTATAATAGACTGATTTTGAATGAGTGACATACTATCATTTATCTAGTTTAAAGTAATATACCTTAGTAAGGTGTGGGTGTAGGTGTGAGTGTATAAAATATAAATAAATCTGTTACGACTGGTTTTTTCCCTTCTCAAGGCATGGTCATCAGATACTTTTTATCAGTGTATTATAATCTGAGATATAAATGCTGGTGTATTATTGTTGCATCGCACTTGGTTCTTATTTATATCGGTTAATTGTAACAATACACCAGATCGATCATACTTTCTCTCCCGATTTGATCAAAAATGATCGCTTCTATCTTATTTTGCAGACTTAGTTCTTCGGCCTTTAAGTTTGTCTAGTATCTCAACGTCTAACAGAACCGTAAGATAAATAGATTCGATAGAAGAATATGGTTATATTTTCTAAATTTAAAAAGAATACATAAGAGTTTATCTCATTGATGAGATACATCTAACTACATAGTAGTTTCTTTATTTTCAGAAAAAAAAGAAATTAGAAGCATTGCTGAAATAAATATCGAAATGTTTTGATGTAAATTATGTCTGACTTTTCTGTGTCAGATATAATTTAACAGCAATCGCAAATGGGTTGAGGATTAACAGTATTAGAGATAAATGTGACGGCTGCTGTTCGTGCCAAGGCAGAACCATTGAGTGTGACACCACCGGAGAACACGATGGATGCGTAGGCAAGAATGTTTCCTTGAAAAAAACTGTCTTGACCAAGTCCAACGCTGCTACCTACTTGCCAGAAGACGCATCCAGCCTTGGCACCATTTATCAACTGAATTTGACTGTTAGCAGCTGTCGACAATGCACTTCCAATCTGAAATATGTAGATTCCACGTCCGTCCAATGTTAGAATACCTGCAGCTATGCTTATCGCGGCAGTTGAGTCGAACTTGTACACACCCGGTGTAAGTGTTTTGCCCGACAAATCAACACCCGTCATTTGACCAGTGGGTGTTGCACCTGCTAAATCGTTGTATGCCGAGCAGACATCTCCTTGAGCTTGTAGAGCGATGCCATTACCTAACTGAGTAATACCATTGATTTTACCCGGTGGATAAAAGCCAGTCATTGCGATGCTTGGACTGATGCACATATCACCATTGATGATGGTGAAGCCAGTATTAGTCACTGTGCTAGCAGCGATCACAGCGTAGTTGGCAGCACTGTTCAAATTTGGACAAATAATGGGATTAGCTGCAGCAGTAATGAAACATAAAAGAACACATAAAATCATACTTGATGCCATATTGTATAGAAGATTTTCTTGAAGATAATGATATTGAGAAAGAATATGCACCTCTTATATATAGTTAGAATTTCGACTATCTTTACCTATCAACCTTTCTTCTCGAACTATGAAGGACAGTAACAATTGAAATGCCAATACGAGGTGTGAAGTTACAAGATAATCAAAGGTTACTTAGAAAAACACTGAAATGAAAATTGATCTTTATGAATCGTGTGAAATGTTCGTCATGCATAAACTAGAATAAATATGTAATCTTCTATATTTTTGTTTTCTAACATTAAATGAAAAAGAAACAAAGGTCACTGTTCGTATCTGATTCATACGAATTGCGATTTAAATTAATAAATATATGATGCCATCATTCAAGGTCATATCGTGAAATCGATTTATAGAAAGAATCGAAAGTATAAATAACGCACAAAGGTATGTACCGAATGTAAACGTTCGAGTTCGGTCTTGAATTCAGTCATTGATGAAAAGACGTATTAGGAAGCGAGAAGAAATATTTAAAAACTAAATGGATAAAGACGGTGCAGCAAATTCTTAACAACATTCAAAAAAACTATTCGGATCCGATTCGTATCTATTATAGTTTAATTCAAATTTTTTAAACATCTAAAACCATTTACTGAAGAATGGAATAAAAAAACACAATATTCTCTTCATTCAAAAATATTTAATTTAATTCGATATTTTAATAGAATCTCGATATTATATTGATGTTGATAAAGATCAGAATGAAACATATATTATTTTGATTAATTCAATTCATTGAAATAAATTATTTCTACATATGCACACCTTTTTAATCGATAGTTTGTTTTATAATGTAAATGATGAATCAACAAGATTGGACGTGGTAGTACTACTCTTACAGAATATTTCGATAAATAATATCACAGTTATTTTTTTTTCTAAACAATGGAAATAATCTATTAATGATAACGTCACTTTGTTTATCTTGAATAACATAACACGCATAGAAAAATTCATTTTCTAATTTTCGAATATATTATCGTCAAAATTTTCACTGCATTGAAAAATAAAATATAGCTGTCTAGAATAACATTATTTAAACTCTAAGACTACATCGATATGCAGAATGAGTTTTAGTATTTAATAAATATTTCAAGAAATCGTCGATATTTAGTTCATAGGATTTTGAGGGTGTGGTTGTGAGTATCACTGCCATATAATATTCACAGTCACCGTTAAATACAATCCCACGCCACACTCAAGAAATGTATACAAATACTGATTATATATAAGACATGTAATCTAGATAAAACAAGTTAATTTATCAAAGTAGAGAGTTTGCAATGACATAAATTCTTAAAGAGAACAATCATCAGTTTATAATGTATATATATATATATATATATATATTAATAGGAAGATTTATTTTGAATACTAGCTATTGTATCGTATACATATAATAGATAATACAGTTTATAGTTAAAATTTTATGAATCTGTAGTAGCTAATGGTGTAGCACAATATCGACAACCTGGACACTGTTGACCATTAATAGTCATATAACTCATTTGGATGTTATCACATGGTTGTTGTATTTGTGCACACATGACCATTGGACACATCATTGGCTGTATATAAAAAAATACAAGTTTATTAATTTAACATCCATAAAGACAAAGATAATTTATATTTGTACTTACCATTGGTTTAATGCCAAAATTTCCAGATTTAACAGCTGGATTATTTAAAGCTAAAAGAAAAGCATTCATTAGTAACATTTATTTTTATGATTCATTCCTCTAAAATCTTCCAATTACCTACCTGGTGCTGCCCATACACATGCAACTATATATACGATGCATATAAGCTTAAATATTGTATTCATGTTGTTTGTCTGTTTATTCTAGAATGAAATAATATTGAAATACTACTCTAAACGTCATTTGTATTTATAGGCTCAGTCGATCTGAATAACGTCAGCTGTGTTTACTGTTTATATTGTTAATACTAAATATTTTTCTCATGTGATTTTTTTCTATTTTTACACATAATCATAGATGTAATTTACAAAACCTGCTTACGCCAACACAATGAAATGTACTGAATATACATCTGTATAAAATATATTTTTCGCACGCCATCGGCACCAGTTATTTATGCTTTGTATCCCAAAAAAGAAAATGTATGAATCATGTGGATTATTATAGTTTTTGATAAATAAATTTAACTACGTATATTTCAATTCTATTTTTATAGAATATCTATAATTTTGATGGTAGTCTAGTTATATTATTAATACGTTGCACTTAGCGCTTTGATTCGCTTCGTCATCTCAGTTGACATAACTTCATACATGATACAAAAAAAATAAAAATGTGTTGTAATATGCATAGCATTGTCTATATTTCTGTTTTATTTAGTAATGTTGAAGCGTTTTGAAGACAATGAATTAGGAGAATCGATAAGTCGCCGTGTTGCCTATCATTGTACGACGGAATATGCAAAATCATCGAAAGCAACATGTCGTGGATGCCACACGAACATTGAACAAAATGAATTACGACTAGCTCTTATGTTACAAGACGAAGAAGGTTATAAAAATACTGCTTGGATGCATTTCAATTGTTTTTGGAAGCATCCCGAAACAAAAAAACTTGATGGTATTCATGAAATACACAACTTTTCTAAATTAAAACCTGCTGATCAAGAGAAGTAAGATTACGAATAATTTCTACTTTACATAGAAATATGGATATGATTATGTCGTTTTAGAATATCAACAGCATTCGAGAATTTAAAAGTTAATAAGTCGACAACAAAACGAAAGAGAAAAGTATCATCTAAGAAAAATGGTAATGACAATAGCAGCGACGAAGAATTCACACCAAAATCTAAAGTAATTGCTAAGAAGAGTACAACATCAACTAAGAGGAAACGTGATTTGGATGAGGAATAGTTTTTTATATTATAGATAATATCTCTGTATTTCATTATTTTTTTTATTGCCATAAAATACTTAACTATATCAAAATAAATTTGAAAAATTAATTCTTACATAATAAATGTTCTACAATCCAGTCTCTATACTTTGAAAAATATCACAAATCATGAATGAAAGTATAAAACTACTAAAATAAATTTCAATTAATTTTATATGTAAACCCAGACTATGTAGCAGTGAAGTAACGTAGATAAAAGAAGAAGAACAACAACGAGAATATAATTTATCAGTTACTTGTATGCACATATAATAAATAATAGAGATAAAGAATCTATTTTGGTATGTTTAATATAAAGGTTTCATTAACAAATATTTTATCTAGTTTGTCTAGTTATTACAGACGACTATGCGAATATATATAATATTACTACTCATTGTATCATTGTATTATCGTGGTACAGTTGCTCTTCAACTTGAATTTTATCCGGGTACACAAGCTTATCATCAAACAGGTTCTCGTTTTAATAATACGGCTTGGATAGTTGTTAGTCAAGATCCATCAGAAAGATATCTCACATATGGACCTTATACAAATGCATGGAATACAACAGCATCATCGCGCGTTGATTTCTATTTAGGAGTAGACAATATTACCGGTGATTCATCAAACTTATTAACTGTTGATGTGAATGATGCAGATTTAGATCATATATTGATGAGTAGAAATATTTCTCGTCTTGATTTTGGTTATGGTAATATTCAATCACAAATTTTTTCTCTTTATTTTACAAGTACTATTGGACATAAACTAGAATTTCGTGTATTTTATCATTGCTGTAGTAGTATTGTTCATTATAAAACAGTTGTAAATGAATTAGATGGTGGTGGATTAGCTGATATTTTTATTGGTCAAGCAGGATTAGAATTAGTTAGTTCGTCAGTATTTCCTACTCCTCAAGGTGATCCAAGTTCTACAGCTATGTGGAATGTAGGTACATATATCAAACCATTGGATGGAAGATGGTATGTTTTTTATAGAGAAGGTTTCTATGCACCGACTCCAGCTTTTTGCAATGGTATCGTACCATTAACACGTATTGCTGTTCGAAATTCAACAGATTTTGGAAAGACATGGTCGGAACCAGCTGTTGTTGCTCTTCCTGGTAATTCAACTTTTGATAATTGTGCAGCACTTGATGGAGCACCTTTCTTCGATAATGACACAGATTCATGGCATTATCTAGCTCAATGTATTGGTAATAATCGACGTTGGTCTCTTTGTCATTATTCAAGATCTGGACGTAACCCTATGTCAGGTCCTTTTATACCTAATCCAAAAAATCCTGTTGTTCAAGGTGGACAGTTATGGAGTAGAATCTGTTCCGGTACAGGAAAACATTGCACATTAACTATGTATGATGAAGGCACACCTGAAATTATAGAAAAAATGAATGGTTGGTTCTATATTACTTTTCATGGTTGGGATGGACCTAATAATAAAGCTGCTCGTGGTATGGCTCGTACTCGAGATTTTGTTAACTATGATGTAGCCGGTTATGATCTTCCGAATGATGCAATATTCTCTCCATTGGATTGTAATACATGGAATATTACATGGAATCCGAAAAGTTTATGTGTCGGTGGAGGTGAAGGTAGTATGGTCAAATCAGGAGATTATTTTTATCATTTAATTGAAGCTCCTGATGGAACATTAAATTGTGATACGACATTAGGAGAACAAAATTGGGTATTAGGTTTATTAAGATCACCTACATTAAGTGCTCGATCAGGTGAATGGGAACAAATACATTTTAATCCTGCATTTAAACCTGCTAAAAAATATGGTTGTGGTTTACAATATCATAGAATTTTTCGTGATGATAATGATTTCTTCTTCTCTATGTTTGTTATTGATTTTGGAGTTAACAATTTAACAATGAAAATATGGAAGGTTGTACCTGGAAAAACTAATTTTCCAGTTATTGTTGGTTATCCATAGACTAATAATTCCTTATCATATATATTTTCCTTGAAAATATATTATACTATTTATATTTCAAATTTCTCTATATTGTATACAACATTTTAGATAAGTCGACTAATCAAATATAATCTTACAAAGCAACTTTAATCATGATGTCTTTGCATTGAGACATAGTTCTACGGTTGTTATGAAGTATGTGTAAGAATGATTTGAGGATGTGGGTTTGGAATATGGGTGTGTGTAGGGTGTGGGTGTCGATATAGTTATCAAGATCTAAGAAGAGCCACACCCACACCCACCCTTAAGTTATATAGATGAGGGTGTGTATTCATTCACATATTTACTGATCGATTGAAAACATGTCTATTTCTATATACATTGAACTTCGATTGAACATCTTGCGATGGCCTACATAATAATTTTCTCGTCCGTAATGCCGTCTGATTCAGTTTGCCTAGGAAAATGCTTCTTCTCTTTCGACGTACTATAAAAGATTCATCATCATTGAAAATAATCATTTTTCTAAACAACTAAAAGTGAAGATGAAAAGGTAAGTTAAAAAAAACTACATTCTCCTGTAAAAGTATATACGCACTATAATGTTTGTTTCAATAGTCCAGTCCAGTTCATTCACGACTTGAATGAACCTAAACGAAAAATGTTGTAAGTAATACGAGAATTTTGTAATCTCTATATTTTCATAGTTTTCTTCCTTACGAAATTATAGGTCAACAACTCATTTCGAAGATCTTTCAAACGAACTTTTACTGGATATTTTCGATCATCTTGATGGTTATCATATGTTAGAAGCTTTTTCTAATCTTAATAATCGTTTTCAATATCTCATCAATAGTTCTTATTTCCTCCTCAAATTGAATATTTCATTTATGTCTCAAACTAATTTTAACAAACGTTCGATCAATATTATTCGTCCATATATTAATCGAATTATATCATTACAATTATCAAAACCATTTTTCATCAAAAATTTCTTTACATCATTTCCTATTGATACATCATTTAATCGTCTCGAATCACTCGTACTCAATGATTTTAATGTAAATGATGAACTTTCTATCCTTATTAGTTTAAGACAATTACCTCGACTATTTTCTCTCAAAATCTATTTTCACGATTGTAATAAATTATATATTATTTTTCAATCAATATGCCGTTTACCTGTTTTAAAATATGCCAAACTTTTGCGTTCAAATCGGTATGGTACATATTCATTTCCACCGGCTACGAGCGATGATCAACGAAGTATGACTCTTGAATATCTTGTCTTGGATGGTTCAGATACTCTTGCAACTATATATAGTATTCTATCATATACACCTCAACTCCGTCATTTGTCAGTTGAACATATATGGGGTTATAACAATATACCTATAGAACAATTTATATTTCCATGCAATCTAACTAGTATTTCAATACGTTATTGGCTTTCATCATTTAATGACTTTGCATCATTCATTGCAATCGTTGGTTTTAAACTCGAATTATTACGAATTTCAATTTTTGATCAAACCGTCGTATTAGATGCTTATCAATGGCAACAACTAATTTTACATCATATGCCACGTTTGCATACGTTTCTCCTTTATTATCATGGTGCGTTGATCAAAGATATTAATGGAAACAAACATTGTCGAACATTACTTGATCAATTTTCTTCTCGATTTTGGATCGAACGACGATGGTTTTTCGCACATAGACATTGCAACTGTATCTCTCATAATAGACCACCAAATTTAGCATTGTATTCAACTCAAATACGCTGGTATAATCAATGAAAGAAAATATTTGTTAGAAAATAATAATTGTTTTTTCTTTTAGGCTAAACTTTTGTGAAACTGGTGATTTTTTAAATAATACTTTATGCTCATACCAAGATCCAATCTTCAATTTATCTGTTGGACCACGAATGCCGATCCATAATCGAAAAGTTGTTGCCAATTTTCCATTTAAATTTCCTCGTGTAACTGAATTAGAACTTACAGGTAATGATAGGATCAATATTAACTCATTCATTGATAATCTAAGTCATATTATAATTTTAACAAATATCACTTATTTAAATATTTCATTTAATAATCAATGGTTGAATTGTTTTATTAAATTACTTAATCATATGCCGAATGTTCAAAAATTGGTTCTTAACGTACAATCATCATCTGAAATGGAAATATCGTCAGATCAACAAACTAATACAGTTGACTTAGTATGCAATAATAATGTGCGAAATGTAAAAATAATTGGTCAACTCCCACTTGTTACTGTTCAATTGATCAACAAACTTTTTCCTCAAATGGAATGTCTCTGGATTTCGAACACAAAAACAGTTCTCATATCATTTTTACGAATTTTGTTGTCGAATAGAATTCATAACAGTCATCTTTCCTCATTTATAGCGATCAGTGGTGATGATATAATAATTGAACCATTGAAAACAATGATTGATAATGAAAAGTTACTTGATAATTATAATATCGAACATCGAAATTGTGAATTGTGCTTATGGTGGTAATAAAATGTATTTTGTTCTTACACTTTCTATGGTTAATTAAGTATTAATTATTTAAAATAAATTGTGATTTAATTATATTCTAAAAAAAAGAATAGAGACAAAGATAAAGTTAGTAAATTTGTAAAGTAGAGATTCTTGAGGGTGTAGATATTTTTCAGTTAGTATAAGAATGAGGGCGTGGCTGTCGCTTTGGGTGTATATGTGCTTATGGCTCTTCTTTGATTTCGGTGCCTATATCCAGACCCACACCCATCCTCAAGATATAAAACGGTCTAAAATGGTGATGAAAGTCAAATCGATAAATTTATTTGAAAAAATCCATTTGATATATTTCAAAATACTTTTTATTTAAAATAAATTTCCGTTACAATTAGTATTACATTATTTAAAATTTTTATTTATAAGTCAAGTCTTGAACAAATTAATCTTATCAAGTTTGATATTCTTATATATGCATCTATCATCCTGATCTAATAATTTGATATCCCAGTGTACTAACAGCCACAGTCCCAAAGAATAGTTGAACAGGAAGTACACCTGCAGTGGCAGATGCTGCTATAAGACTTGTCATGCCAATAGTTTTCAATGTAAAACCGAGTGCATCATCAGATTTGTCATAAGTATCACACAAATCATCTCTTATTTCACTACCATATTATCCCATTGTATTGATGAATCTTCTTTATTCGTCTATAAATTATATTAAACATAGTAAAAATAATTTTAATTTATAATTATACAGTAAGTAATATTCTAAAAGAATAGGAACAACAAGAAAAACATAATACAATAACTATCTTTTTGCATGCAAATTCTTTAGAAAATAATGACCTTTATGTGACGATTTCAAGCCCAGTACAGAGCTGTATAATATTTGGTATATATCTATACTATTATTCCTCAAAAGAAATCACCTGCCTCACTAAATATTTCTCGTGCTTTACATAGTATTCAGAATATTGTAGTAAACTGCCACATCATAAGAAATTAATCACCCGATATGAAAGTGCTACATCATACACAGACTATTTCTTGGATTGGCACATCTCCAAGAATATTCCTTTTTTTCTCTCAAGATAAACCATTCTTATAATTAACACAAAATATTGCATTAACAATTAAAATCAATTGACCAAATCGGATACTCACTTAGAGTTAAAGTGTTACAGCTAAATACGACAGATCAACAGATTTTTGACAATATAATATGAAAAATGACTTTATATAAAAGGAGACAGCGATATAAGAGATATTTCAAAATATTCCCAAACAATATTTCACAATAACAAGAGGATAATGCGACATATAATCACGTTATTTATTGTTTTCTTGTCCATATTTTATCATGTGATTAACTGGAGTAGCAATCTCATTCGACTTCTTATCTAAATAATGATTATGAAAAAAATACATCTGAAGTAGATTACATTATAATCTCTATAACTTACCAATATAATTCATATCCACCAATTACTAATTTGGAACAAACAGATATTCGTATAGCTTGATTCAGTACCAGTGTTGCCAACCCTTCCGGTTTTTCAGAAAAGTTTTAGATGATTTTTGTTGGATTAAATTTTATTTATATGTTAAAATCAGAACTATTGAAACTTATTCATTCTAGTCAAAAAGTACTCTTTCAAAAAACAACGTATTAATTAATAGCCGAATTCATAATTTATCATTTCTTATATATTCAGTTTATTATATTTTAAATTTTGATGTTGATTTTCTTTTAATATACTGAAACATGAGATTTCCGAAATAATAAATAACATAATTGAGAACAAGATCTATAAAAATTCTCTTTCTCGTAGAAAACAGTCCAGTAAACATAAATTGCCTGATTGATTGCTTGCTTGCCTGTATGTCCGCAGGGTCAAAAAAACATCGAAAACCTATTTTCCACGGTATTCAATTGTTTTTCCAGTAAGCGTGAAGAGGATACAGTTTTACGAGAAAGAGTTAAGCGAGTTCTTAGACGAGCGTCACTTGTTTATTTTAGCCGGTAAAAATTAACTGTTAAAAATCTTTCCGGATTTAACAAAAAAAGCGTCCGAATTTTGACATTAGAATTCCGGTTTTTTGATTATGACAGTTGGCATCACTGATTTGAAGATCAAGATTAATATATTTCTCTGCACTTTAGAGAAAATATGAATGTCGAAAAAGAAGTATGTTTTATATATAAAAAGTAACATTAAATGCTTGTTTTTTTTTTATTACGCGAGCTTTTATTTTGTGGCATCACATCACACAAAAATTGTCTTAAGAAAAAAAAACAAATAAACAAAACCAAATGAGCCCATATTATGATCTACTTTCTTTGATTGAAATCATCTAGCAATGAATATATAAAATGCAAACAAAAAAGAAAAAAAAGGAGTATATATGATCAAAGAAAAAGTTTATAATATACACAAACAGATAAAACGAGCACCGGCCATTGAATAGTGTCGGTAATAGAAGAAGAAGAGTATTAAATGTAATAATCGATCAATATATGATCACTGTTAAAAAAAAATTTAATGAAATAAAAATAAAGTCTATATCTAATATGTTTCATCAGCTTCGTTACAATCATGATCAAATTCTTCGCATTTTTCACAATAAAGTCTTGGTGGTGGTAATACTCGTTCACGTGTTTGATGATCTATTTGTGGTTGTTCATCAAGAAGTGAACTTTGTTTCGGACAATCATCGGTATCATGCTGATCAAATACTTCACACATGTCACCTGAATATATATATGGAAATGAATAAACATAGATTTGTTTATTTCGAAAACTTACAATAAAGTCGAGGAGCTGATGATTTCATTCGACCATTTGTATTTCCAGTTAATTCATCATCTCCAGCAAATGGATTTTTTTGAAATTCCATTTCTTTTGTTAAATGTTCATTTGTATTGCGTAATTCAACAATAACATCATTAAGAAAATTAATTTGACCTTCTAATGACGAACGATCATCTTTAGTAGTATTGACTACAATTTGTTTTTCTAATTTTTCTATTTGATATCGTGCTTCAGTCAGTTCATATTCAAGTTGTTTTACATTACTATTACTAGTTGATGTATTTACATTCCCTGAATCTATAGAAACATAATTGAATAGAATTCTTTTCAAAAAAAACGAAATCATTTACTAGCTTGAAGGGCTTGTTGAAGTTGATTTTTCAAACGAAGTTTCTCTTGTTCATTTTCAAGATTCATATTTTCAATTTGAACGAGATATTGACCTAGAGAAAATTTATTTTGAATGAAAAAACGAAGAATTTTTTAAATTTACTTTTCATTAAAACTAGATCTTTTTCATATTCTTCAGTTTTATCTTTAAATAATTTTTCTTGATTATTCGTATTTTCAATACGTTGTTGATCGAAATCAGCATGTTGTTTGATTTGTTTTTCAATAAGTTCAGCTTGAACCTGTTGCATATCATTTATTTGTTTTGTTAATTGATCAATTAAAGCTTGTTTTTCATTAACAATATTATCATTGGTATTTTTTAATTGTTCATTGGATGTTATTTGTTTTTGACATTCATTTTGAGTATCATTATATTTATTTTGTAAATCTTGACAATCTTTTTTCAATGTTTCATTTAATACTTTTAATTCTTCAAATTCTTTTGTTAAATTTTCAGTCTAGAAAATAAACAAAAAAAATCCTTCAAAATATTATTTGAACAAAATAATTTACACGTTGAGTAGATTCATTTTGTGTTTGTTGTTTTTCATGAAATTCTTTTTCTAATTGATTAATTTTTATATTATTTTCCTGTTGATTACGTTCGATTTGTTCACGTAATTGAGTATTTTCTTTATTCAATTCATCTAATTTTGATTGATATTCTTTAATCTGTTGATCTTTTTCAGTAAATTCATTTGCTTTAGTTTGATCTATACGAAAGAAAAATAAAGGAATAATTTTCTATAAATAATGGGTTCGGTGTTAAATGTCGAAAGGGAAAATGTCGAGAAAAATGAAGGCAAATATCGAAAAGAAAAAAGCATAAAGATCGAAAGGACTGACGTCGAATAGAATAGATAATCAGTAGGAAAATGAAGATAGACAAAATATCGAAAATGAAGCTTTTAATTTTTATTTTAATATAATACGATGAGTGTGTGCGGGTGTGGGTGTCTGTGTGGAGATAGTCTGGGTATTTGCTAAAAAAAGAAATACCCACACCCACACTCACATGCACACCTACCCACACCTTCAAGATATTTTCCTATTTATCTTTGAAATCTTCGCTAATGTTACTTTCGATATTTTCCTATTATTTTTTCGACATTTTCCGTCAATCCCTAAATAATAAAAAAAACTAACTTTGATTTTCTAATTCATTAATTTGTGTTTTAAGAGATTGAATTTGTTTTTCAAAATCTTGTTTTATTGTACTAATCGATTCGTTTAATTTCGTTTCATTAAGATTTTTATCTTCTTGTAATTTTGTTAATTCATTTCGAAGATCTTGTGTTTCACGAACAGCTTGATCTCGTTTTGTTTGATATTCTTTAATTTGAGATTCATAGTGAGTTTCGCGTTCATTTGATGCCATATTTTGTGTGCGATCTATTTTTAATATGAAATTGAAATCGAAGAAAAGAAAAAGAAATTCAAACCTCGATCTTGTAATTCGGTTAGTTCAGTTTTAAGGATTTCATATTGTCTTTCATAATCTTGTTTTAATGTATTTATAGCCTCGGTAGATTTTTTCTCATTAGAATTTTTTTCTTCTTGTAATTTTAATAATTCCGATTGATTTGTTTCAAGTTGATCATTTAATTTTCCGAATTTATTTTCATATTCTTTTAGTTGTATTTCAAAAGTTGATTCACGTTCTTTAAAATTTGTCATAGCTTTATTTTCTATAAATAAAATTCTATAAAATAAAATAATAATAATAAATAGAAAAATTAACCTCGATCATTTAATTCTGTTAATTCGATACGAAGTTTTTTCGATTGTTCTTCATAATCTTGTTTTAATGTATTTATTAATTCATTCGTTTGTTTTTCTTTTAGAAGATTTTCTTCATGTATTTGTTTTAATTCCATTCGAACTTTATCAGTTTCTTGAACAGCTTGATTAATATTTATTTGATATTCTTGAATTTTTTGTTCATATTGAGATTCTCGTTCATTCACTGCTAAATCTGCTGTATGACCTAAGAAATTAATTTGCAAAAAGAAATGATAAATAGAAATAATAATTACTTCGATTTTCTAAATCAGATTTCAATGTTTGACATTGTTTTTCTAATTCAGGAACAAGGCTTTCTTGATATCGTTTAAGTTCATTATGTAAATCATTTATTTGTTTTTCATTTGTTTCTTTTTCTTGTTGTAATGATGTTAGCCTAGATTGGACCTAAAAAAGAAAATATTTCATTCTTTTCATGTAAACTATTCAAGCATCTGCCTTTTAGCAGATAGTAAGCTATATTAGAAATGTTAAAAAGTACTTCGATTTGAAAGATGTACTTATAACTAAAATATAAAAGATCGAATTGTTTTTTTTTGTATGATCTGAAAAAAATCGAATATTATTTCACAGAGTATCCATACCTCTTGTATTTCTTTGTTAAATTGTTCAACTTTTAATCGTTGCTCTTGAAGTTGTTGTTCATAGAAAGTTTCCTTTTCAGATAAAGCTGTTGTTTTATTTTGTTCTATAAAATAAAAATATAATTTTACTAGCGGAAGTACCCGATGAATGCGGATGTGGATTCGATGTATGGGTGCAACTGTTCTTCATCAACACGCTCAACCACTCATACCGACACCACATTCACACCCTCACTCACCCATTGACGCTCTCAATCTCATCCATCAACTCGCCCACTCTTTCATCCTCACTCTCACCCACTTATTCACCCTTACTCACTCTCTAACCCTCACTCACTCACTCCCTCATCCACTCTATCATCCTCACCCACTTGCTCGCGCACCCTTATCTTCACTCGCACTCAAGATCTAGAAAAAATACTCATATACACATTCTTTTCCTCAGAATACGTCAGAGAATTTTCGATTTTCATAAACTGGGTGATATTTCACCTAACTCACGTACCGCCCTCCGATGACCATGCCAACCCCCGTCGACCTTCCCTGGGCCCCAAAGAAGCATCATGGAAAATTTGATCAACGTAGCTATTACAGGGACTGAGTCTTTAGCGAACAGACAGATATTCTTCTTTATATATACCGATAAAGAAATGAATTTTTCTTTTCATTACCTTTATTTTGAAGATCAATGATCTGTGTTTTAAGTTGATCAATTTCTTGTTGTTTTTCTTGTTTAATTTTTTCAATAGAATCATTTATTTGTTTATCTTTATCATTTAATTTAATTTCATATTCAGATTTAATTGATTCAATATTATTTAGTTGTTTATTTTTTAATTCATCATTATATTTTTGTTCTAATTCATTGAAACGAGATTTATAATCCGTTTCAATATTCTCATTTTGTCGTTTTAATTCTTGACGATGTTCATCTTGTAATGTTTGTTTTTCTAAAACTAATTTTTGATTAAATGATTCAAGTTCAAGAACTTTTTCTTTAATTTGCTCATAAATTTCAATATCTTTTGGTGCTAATAAACGATGACCATCTGGTATTACTGATGTAGGCAGATGTTCCTTATTTGTATCAGTTAATTTATATTCTTCTAATTGAAATTCTAAATCTTCTATACGTTGTGTTGTTTGATATTGTTCTTTTTTTAATTGTTCATTTTCTAATTCTTTAACATCATATTGTTGTTTAAATGCTAACATACGACTTTCCATTTCATCAACTTGTTGTGCTGCACGAGAAAATTCTAAACGATCTTGTTCACGTTGTGATTGTAATTTTTCAATAAATATATCTTTTTCTTTTATTGTTTGAACTAAATTTGTTAATTGATTTGATGATGGGGTTACAGCAGCTAATGTAGCGGCTGCTTGTGTTAATAATGATTTTGTATTTGGTGTTCCATAAACATTTGTATTTGTTACTAATTTTTGTTGTTGAGTTTTACCAGGTGTACGCATTGGAATACGACTTATACTATTTGATGATGTAGAAAATTCAGATAGATTCGAATGAAGAGATTCTTGACTTGTTGAACGATGTAATTGAGGATTATTTGTACTTGAAGAAATAGATGCTTTCCGAGCTAGAATTTGAGATTGTGTCATTTCATTAGTGACTTTTTCTACACGTGCCAAAGGTGAAAAAAGACCATAGCGTTGTTGACATGTGAAATATCGTTTTCCACTAACACTACCATCATTTTTACCCAGTGGATCATCGAGTTGTATACCACACCAAATACCTTCAGCGACATGAATTTTACCAAGATATTTTAAAGTACCAAATTTCGTTCCACTAACAACTACTCGATCACCTACACGAAGTTCTTGAGTTGAAGATGGTTCTGTTGATAGAGTTTGTTCATTTGTAGTTATACTAGTATCAACTACTGTTGTATTTACTAATGTTGCATCAGCATCACCTCCTAGAAAGAGAAAAAAGTATTATTTCTATACATATTTTCACAGAATATGTATAGATACCTTTATTTAAATTAGATGTTGATGTAGATAATTTTGATGACTCATTTAATGGAGTTGTTTGAGATTTTACTGAACCGGATGTCTCACCACCACTATTAGCACCATTTTGGACAAGACGTTGTACTTTAGCAGCACGACAGAATAAACCACGATTTGCTTCAGTTTCAAAATAGCGAGTACCTTCATATGAACCATCTTAAAACAAAAAATAATTTAAAAATGAAATTATCGTTTTTTTTGTTTCTCACCGTTTTTGCCTTGCGCTTCGTCAAGAATAATACCAATCCATTCACCTAAATATGAATCGTTTCGTATAAAAACCAAATCATTTAGTGTTAATCCTACCATCAGCAAATTTGGTTGGACCAATAAATGCTACAGCGCCTGATTTACCATTAGCAGTAACACGATCACCAATAACGAATGGGTTATTCGAAGAATCTCCGCCAGTTGGACTGACTTGTTGAGATGAAGCTGCAGCTGTTGAAGATTGTTGAGGAGGACGAAGACCAGATTTAGAAGTAGTTGTTGTTTTTGATGGTGTTACTGGTAAACGACTAGTCGGTAATTTACTCATTCTAAAAAGTTCGTTTACTATCTATAATATCAGTTTTTTTTATTCATTATCAGAAATATCAAAGTATAAGAAGAAAATATATATACATTTACATATAAAGAAGACAGATTGTGTTTATTTTTTTTGTTAATAACGTTTTAAACGTCGAAATCCTGAGTATAATAGAAACAGAGAGAAGAATTTTTTTGTATAATAAAAAAATAGTTTTATGTTGCTATACAAAAATGATCATTGCGAATTTGTACAAATTTATTTTTGTCGATGAAGAACACTACGAATTTCTTTATCTGTTAATGGTATACCAGCAAGTACCTTGTCAATAATATTGGAATTTGGTCTGTCACCTTTTGGAGTAGTATCTGATCGAACAGTTGTTGTTGGAATGGATTGTTTATTATGTATTGCATCATGAGTGTTACGATTTGTTATTTTATTATAATAATCATTTGTTACTTTTGGTGCCGGTGGTGTTGGTATTGGTGCATGAATTCGAGCTGGTCGTTCAATACGTGTTGAACTTAATTTTGGATTACGAATAGTACTCATATCAATATCATTTTCATCATCTTCAATATCATACCGAGACACTTTATTTCTGGTTGATGGATTTGGTAATGCATCGATCAGTTTGAATGTTGGCGTACCTACAATAGAACAATATTTAAATGTACAGACTTGAATTTAATTTAGAGAGAAAATCTCTTTAGTCTATTCATCAAGAATATATACAACGTGTAATTTTTATATTTCGTTGAAAACTTTTATGAAAGTTTCATTAATAAAATCTCATTCGAATCCTATTGTTTTGATTTTAGAGAAGTTGAAAGAATCTTAAAATTTTTCATCAATATTTATTGAACACAGTTAAAACAAAATTATCGTTTCAAAATCTTCCTTTTCACAGATCTGCTTTTTTTCTTTGAACGAGCACGCTTACGTGCAGAAAGTATTTGTATTGGTGGTGATGGTGAACGTGTTTCATTTCGACTTTTTCTTCGATCACGATCACGTGAAACACTTCGAGCTCGAGTAGTTGATGTTGATGTTGATAACATTGTTGTTGTCGTTGCTGCCGGATGACGTGGTGACTTCCGTTTTGGTAGTTGTTCAATTTCTCTTACTTCTTCTTCTTCATCATCATCATCATTTTCTACATGAACTACTGGTTTTCTTGATGAAATAACACCAATTGATGAACGTCGTTGACGAGCTTTTCCACTTATAATTTCTCTTAAACGTTGATAATCACCTTTATCCGAATAATTCATTTGAATAATTTCACGAAAAAATTGTATTAAACTTTCAATCATTTTAGATGATACTGGTTTTTTATTCGTAAATACATTTCGAACAAAACCTGATGGATCACTACGTGCAGTCATTTTTTCTTGTTGAACACGTGCACCATCCGTTAATTTTATCCATGGTAAACTTGCACCAAGCCAATGTAACATATTATAAAAAAGAATTTCTAAATCACCACGAAATGATGGTACAGCACCACGATGTACATCTAATGAAGTAAATTCTAATGTACCTTCATGTCTTCGTTGAACTTTTTCTTCATATTGTAATGACGCTTTACGACTAAGACCATAATCAAGTAAATAAATATGTACAGAATCATTCAAAAGAATATTTTCCGCTTTAATATCAGCATGTACATAACCATGTGAATGTATATATTCAAAAATATCAAGCATTTGTTTACCAATTGATTGTACACGTTTTTCATTAAGACAATGACCAATATTTGTACTTGTTAACTGAAGTTCATCAGCAAGTGTTTGTTTATAACGTGGAATAACTAAAAATCGATAACGACGTTTACTTGTTAGACTATCATGCATTCCATGAGCTATTAATTGTGGTACACCTAAATGATCAAGTTGATTGGCTTTAATAAATGTGTCTTGTAAAGTTTTTTTTCCTAATTGTAAATAAAAATGCATTTCACAAAAAAGTGGACCATTTGAATCTGGTTCAACTTTAACAACATAGATTGGAGTACTTGATGATGTACTACGACATTCATATATACAACCGAAACCACCTTGTCCAATTGTTTTACCAATTGTCCAAGTTTTACGACAAAGATCTGTTAGAATAGTTCCATTTGTAAATGGTTCAGCTAATTCATATAATGAAGCTGCACCACCTTTCTTTCGACCACCTGCAGAAGCGGCATTATTTGCGGTTCGTTTCGGTGGCATAATCTTAAAATACAAAGAAACAAAAAAGTCTTTATCGTTCATTCTTGATTTTTAAGGTAAAGATATAAAAGAAAAAGACAAACAAAAATGTTTTTTTTTCTGAGCTATATGAAGTTGCTTTTGTTTTTTTCTTTTTTCTCTATGAATGTTTGTTTTCTTGAATATACATTCTACGGAAAAATCAAAGTACCAACACACATATAAAGAAGAATCAAGAGAAATACAGAGAGAGAGACAGAAAAAAAGAAAGAAAGAAAAAAGAGACATACACACGAAAGAAATAACATATACTGTTTTATAAAAACAAACAAACATTTATATACAATGTGTTGTATGAGAGAATAATTGTTTTAAGTGATTTCCATTCGTATGATTTAGAGTTTTATTTTCACTGTAATTGATCTTTCTCTCGTTTTATATCACATTGAATATACAAAGAGAAATAATAATGTCGAATATTTATCACAAATCTAATTTAAGTTTTGGTGGCTTTTGTTGTTGAATCATTTGGTGGAATAAATACACCAAAACCTAATAATAAATTACGACGAGTAAAGTGTATTAATGTAGTCGATGTTCGTTTTGTACGATAAGTAACAAGTTCATATTTAGCTGATGGTGTTACACGTTGAAGAGTATCTAATTTTCCATCATCTTTATCTTTAATTAATTGACCAAAATTCCAAATTCTTATAGAAAAATCAGCACTTCCCGTACATAAAATCGAACCATCACGAGAAAGATCCTAAATAAAACAAACAAAATCTTGTTATGATAATCATATTTCTTTCTCAACTAATCTCTTGTAATGTTAATAACATTTACATCTATTCCAAATGTGGAATCACTAAGCATGATTGATTAGTGTCAATAAACTAACAGCAATTATCTGATCTGTTCTGTACATATTTAGATAAAGGACCCATAAGATTTTATTCGTATTTATCTCTACATTCAGTGAATTATCTAGAGAGATGGCAGTGATGGCGGCGCCCTCCCGAAAATTGCAATTTTTGTGCTTATACTATGTATTTTCCCTCCAGAAATTAGACTGTCACCGTCCCGGAAATCGCTATCACAATCTCGAAAGGAAAACCTAGATAAAACACTGTCTATGTTGTATAAATGATTATTTGTATATGAAATAAATAAATATTTAATTACCATAGAAAAAATAGCATCTGAATGTCCAAGTAAACAAGTAACTAAAGAACCATTACTACAATCCCATATCATAATTTGCCTATCATAACCAGCTGATATTAAATATCTGCCATCTTTTGAAAATTTTAATATACAAACATTTAATTTATGTCCAGACATTTGCCGTATTGGTTTCATTTGTTGTCCTTCTTTACTTTCTAATAAATCCCAGATTTTTAATATACGATCTGATGATGATGTTGCTATATAATTTGAATTTGGATGAAAACATAATGTTTCAATATCATTACAACCATCAGTATATATTCGTAATGTTTGAGCATGTTCTATACACCATAAACGTGCGGTTTTATCTAATGAACATGAAGCAAAATAATGGCCAAATGGACCAAATTGTACATCAAATACAGGTTGTGTATGACCGCGAAATGTAATTAAACATGACCATGTTAATAAACTCCATAGACGAATTGTATAATCTTCTGAACATGAAAGTAAAAACCATTTTTCACGTGACATTGATAAACCATAAATTGGCCCAGTATGACCACATAGAAGACGTTGATTATAAAGTATATCCGAATCATTATTTTGGTTCGTATTATCTTTACTATCATCATTAGTCATCATTTGTTCATAAATATGTTCATTAGATTTATCTAATCTTTCAAGTTCCGATGGAAGTTTCATTGTAATTAATTTTCGACGATTTAATGAATATACATAGATACTCGAATTTTTACAACCAACAGCGAGTAATGTTGAATCTTCGGATACTTCTTCAATAAGAAATAAATTCGATTAAAAAATTTCTTTCGTTTTTCTTAAATTAAACTTACCAAGACAATTTATTTCAAGGTAACCATTTAATAAAGTATAATAACAACATGATGGTAAATTATCAGGTGTAATTTTTAACATTCGGGAATAATCTTCTGCAATAAAAAATTCATTTAATAATGATCATTTTCTACTATTATACGGTATATTAAGTGTGACTGATGAGATGAAATACAAAAACAAAATAGTTTGCAAAACAAATTCAATCTTCTTCTACTCGACCCTTTATAATTGACTAATATTTTACCTTGAAATGTATTGATTAGATCCATTCGTTCATGTTCTCTTAATTCAGGAATAGGTATTCGTGTAAGTTGTGGTGCATTTGGATCAACTTTTAATGATGCTTTACTTTGTCGTTGATTAAAAAAATCTTTTTTAAGTTTTTTTCGATTTTTTGACGTTGATGGTTGATCATCGCCAACACCGTCCTCATTATCTGCACCTGTTGACGATGAAAGAATTGCTTTATGTTGTAATATTCGAGTTAGATCATGATCTCTTAATAAACCATAATACATTCGATTTGTATTATCTTCCGTTTTTATTTCACCAAGACGACCACCACTTAATAAACGTTGAGTTTCAGCATTACGTGCACTACCATCATTGATTTCAAGCTTTAATAAAAGGCAAAAAAATATATTTATCAACAAAATTTTTCGATTTTTACTTGAAAATAAGCTTGAACAATTTTTGTTAATAATGGATATTTTTGTTGTTTTATTAAAAATTGATCAAGTAATTCAAGTGATGCATTACATAATTTTATCCAATAACGTCCATTATGACGAAATGATTTAACATATTCACTTTGTGCTATTAGTTCTTTTGTAACTAATGATTTAATACGAAAAAGATCATCTTTATGTGCAGCAAAGACAGTAGCTTGTAAATTTGTATTTTGAACATAGTTCTTAAAAAAATCTTGTGCTTCTTGAGCATGATCTTTTTCAACTAAATCTAAATACATATGAACAAATAATGGATAGATTAATTGAGAAAATTCATGTCGACTAGTATCTGGTTGTTCTTGAACATATGATATATAACCATCAAGTGCAGTAAAATAAGGTTCACTAAATGATGATGTTGTTTTATTGAATAATGATTGATATTCTTTTTTAAATATTTCAACAGATTCTGTCATATTATTTTCTTGAAGTACACGAAGAATTTTAGCAAATTCTTCTTGAGGAATTTGTTGTGATTGAGATGTTGTTCGTTGAGGAAATGATAAACGTTGTTGAGTAGTTTGGCCAGATGATAATGAAACATTTGAAATTGAATTAATACCATTGGAATTTATTGATGTTGTTAATCCACTAGTTGGTGTTGAAATAATTTGTTGTTGTTGTTGACTAGAATTATTATTATTATTATTTGTATTATTATTTGGAATTATAAATGACATTTTTGATGTAGTATTTGATGGAAGAAGTAAAACATTATTTGTTGATAAAGAATTTGTTGGATTTGATATTGGATTTTGTGGTGATGATGATGTTGGTGAAGAAAAATGCATTATAAAATCTTTCTTTTTATTAAATACTATTCATTCATCGAATAGAATTAATTAATATATCTAAGATGAAAAGAATTAAAGTAAGAGTTTAGTTTGGATTTTTTTCTCAAAAAAAAAAATATCTGATCCTTTCGTTCTTAGATTCTCTTTATCAAATGACTGGGAAAAAAAATTTTTTTATAACAAATCACGTTTTTTTTTACTAGAACAACAACAAAAAAAAGAACTTTCCTTTTTCAAATAGTTTTTTCTTTATTATTGTCTATACGGCTCCAACGGATGTTGTTGGGCCTTCACCACCGGGCACAAGCATAGCAACATGATTGCCATTTAATAATATTTGATCAAGTTTAGTTATACGACTACCACCATCTGGCATTGTTTCAAATTCAGTTACCTAGAAAAGAAATATTATATGATAGAGAATAAGAAGGGTGGTGATCAGGGATGTGCAGTGTCGGTGAAAATATTGAAAAACGAACACTTAAAATAGCAGTTCGGTGCTCACCGTGCCACTGAAAATATCGGTGCCAGTTTTCACCGAACACCGAATATAAGTGTCAGTGATCACTGTGTCAGTTTTTCGGTGAACACTGACACCGATATTTTCAGAGGCACGGCGGGCACCGAATATAAGTCTCAGTAAACATCGTTGTCGGTGCTCAGTAAACCGACATTGCACATCCCTAGTGGTGATTAAACTTACATCTTCAAGTACCATATTAACATAATCATCAAATCCAAGTAAAGTTCCAACAATTTCTTTATCTGATTTCATAATGACATGAATTCTTGATCCAATACATTTATCAACAAGTTCTAATGGTAAAAGTTGAACAATAGTCGTCGATGGTGTGACTGTTGGTGGTGCACTAACTGTTGTTTGCGTTGTTGGTATATTATTTGTATCACCTGTTGCTGTTGTTACTTGTGATGTTGCCATATTTTTTTAACAAGCAAAAAATGGTAAGACAAATATACTGAAACAAATATTATAATTATACGATTAACAAATAAATTTTATTTTATTTTTATTTGTTTTAAACACAAACAGAACCACTCCAATGAATGCAGATTTTCTTATTTAATGACAAATAAAATGAATACAATAGACAAATATACGTCAAATACCGAGAAAATTAGAAGCAACAAGAAAAAGAACTAAACAGACGCGAGTTTATTTTTTTTTTTGTATAATGATATAGAATTTTTCGGCAGTCAATAAATGGCATCTGACAGCTAAATAAATTTTTTCTTCTTTTAGTTTATAACACATTTGTACATTTAGTTTGTAAGACAAAACGGACGCACATATGAAAAATGGCAAATAAACAGTATCAAAACTGTTCAAAACTATAGAAAGAAAAAGAAAAACAGAACTTTGAGATATGAGAAAGAGAGAGAGAAAAAAGAAAAAAAAAAGAAAAATATCTACATATGAAGAAAAAAAAATTTATATAATAATTAAGCTGTCCAAGGACCATTATTTTGTGTCGATTGTTGTTGCGATTCAATATTTATATATGATAAATCATTTTCTAATAATTCTAATTGTTTTTTAAGTTGTTTTTTAATATTAAGACTATTAAGACGACATGTTGGATCTTCAATCCATAATTCTTCACATAATTGAACCAATGGACGAACAATCTTAATAAAATAAAAAAATTTTTATTGACATGTTTGAATTAAATAAGAATCTTACCGGATGAGTTGTCCATCGTTCTGATATTGGTGGTCGATGTTTTTTCACACATACAATATCTCGCATTTGATCAGCATTAGGATTACCCTGTGAAACATCTTCATAAGGTACTTGATATTTTTCTGCATCATTTTCTACAGAAACAAAAAAAACTAATATTTTTAATTAAAACAAACAAAATTCTATACCAGTTGAGCTTATTTGGCATCTTCGTAATATTTCCCAGTAGACAAGACCTAATGCGTAGATATCGGCCGCTTTAAATGATTCAAAATTACGATCATTCAATGTTCCATCGAGAACTTCTGGTGCCATATAACCTTTAAATAAGCAAAAATTATGCAATAAACTTTCTTTTTTTGTTGAATATTTAACTTACGTATGGTACCCACACGATTATTTGCTTGAATGTCAATAACAACATGTTCTTGATCGGATGCATTAGCAAGTAATAAATCTTTTCGAGATTTAGGTTTACATCGAACTTCTTTTACAGCAAGACCTAAATCTGCTATACAACAAGATAAATCTTTTTTGACTAAAATATTCTTCGTTTTTAAATCACGATGAGCAAGTGCAACTTTGCCTATAATAAAAAAATGAAATTTTTTATAAAAATTAAAAATAATATTCTACCATTTGTTGAATCAATCGGCATATGTAAATGACAAAGACCACTAGCAATACTTAACATCATCTTTATTAATGTAGGTATTGTTATTGTATGAGTCATAAGATAATCATAAAGTGATCCATTTTCATGATATTCAGTAACAAGCCAAAGTTGAGTATATGTTGATGCATCCTAACAGAAAAAAACGAATTTAATTTTTCTTTATTTTTGATTTATATTTACCATATTATCGGCGGCAATATAACCAAGAAGATTTTCATGTCTTAAACAAACAGTTTGATAAATTTCAATTTCTCGAAACCATGAACGTTCATCATTTGCCGAAAAGATTTTAACTGCAACATGATCTTCACGCCATTTTCCTCGATGAACACTACCATAACGACCGGCACCAACAACTTCTTCTAAAGTTATTTCTCTTGCAAGTGTACGCTGCATTAATAGAGGAAGAGCTAGAGAAAAAAAAACATTTTTTTGTTTAAGAAAAATTTCTTTGAAATAACTACCTGGTCCCATTGTACTTGTTGATAATTCATCGAGAAGACCTGTTAATGATTGATCAGATGGTATACAACCATCATTAATTCGGCTTAATCGGTCTCGACAATAAAAACATTTTAAGAAACGTTGAAATAGATTTTGTTTCTTATTGTCATCAACATAAGCAAATTTTTTCGTATGAAAAGCTGCTCGATTATTTATTAAACCTTTTTGTTTAATATATATAATTATAAATACTCCAATACATACAAGTACACCCAATGTTGACGTAATAATAATTATTATTAATGTTGAATAACTATTCGGAGGTTGATGTGATGCTAAAATATCTGTTTTAATATTAAAATTTAATTAGTTTTTTTTTATTCTTAAAAAGCTTACTTGGTGATAATGGAGATAATAATGCTTGACGAATTTCTTTCGAATAAGCATCAAGATCATTACACTCATTACGTTGAGAACAACAGATAATATAACGATCTGTTTTATTTAAGCTACACATTAATCGTGTAAACAAATATTCATTATGCATACATCTATATTAAATTCGGAATATTAAAAGAAAAAAAAGATTTCTATATGTAATGTTTTTACCCAGCTGTATAATGTACTAAACCATCACTTTGTTCCAATGCCCAACTTGCATAGCATGTATGATAGGATTCAGTAAGTCGACAAGTATGAGAATTTTGATCGCATTCTTCATCATCAGTACATAAACATGTTATATTTACTTTTGGTTGATCGTTATTAACAAGTAGGGCAATTGGATTTTCATTATTATTTTCTTCACTAATGACGATAGTTGTCGTCGTTAGCAGAATAAAAACGACTTGAATTAATGTATATTTCATCATCTAAATATGTTTAGTATTAAATGAAAAGAATCTTTCAATTAATCGAATTCCTTCATGTTTTGATTTTTTAAACAATTGCAGATATGAAAGAACATGAAGAAGATGGAGAATAGGAAAATTTTCTTTTTTTGACTGGTCAAAGTGTCCCTGTCTGAAATCTAAACCAATAATTTCTTTTAATTTTCCTCCTTATTTATATAATTCAAAAAATGTTTTTTAAATAACAAAAATAATATTATTAAACTAATAATTATGAAAAAATTTTCTAACAAAATTTATTTGTTCGTTCAACATGAAAGATGTCGCCATATGTTACGGTATTTCATTTAATGGGTTAAATTAATAGAAATTGCAAAACGAAAAGAATATATGTATAAAATATTATTACGGATGCATCAGTGATGCCAACTGACATAGTCAGAAAATCCGGAATTCTAATGTGAAAATCCGGAAACGTTTTTTGTTAAATCGGGAAAGATTTTTAACAGTTAATTTTTACCAACTAAAATAAATTTCTCTGAATCTTTTTGTCAATTATACCACTTATTATATCAAAAGAAAATCAACATCAGAATTCGAAATATAATAAACTAAATATATAAGTATAAGCCACTGAGCCGCTGTCAAATAAAAAACTTTTTTTGAGTATTAACAGATAAATAAAATTTAGTTCAATAAAAATGATCTAAAATCCAGAAAAATCCGGAATTTTTCTTAAAAAATCGGAAGAGTTGGCAACACTGGAATGCATATTAATTCAAGTAGAAGTTATACTATAATGTATGTCGCCAGAAACATAATTTTTCTAGCTAATAATAGAAAATGAGTACATGTATCTAATAAAAACATAAAAGTTACCAAGTATGAAGTTGTAGTTTGAACTACAGAAAAACACATGAGTACATCATCTTTTAATTAATTATCATGTATAGATACCTATGAGTTACATCCTGCAGAACTATGCCATTTTTTTGTTGACTACTGTTTGTAGCGTAATTAATATCTTTATTTCTGTTTCTCAAAACAGGTATATTATCAAGATCCAAAAGTTGATTTAAGTAAAAAGGGAAAGAAAATAATATTACTTACTGAAACATCAAGTGTTCAAACAATTTCTTCTCCATATCCGTTTTCAAGTATCATCTAGTTTATAACTGGCTCTAAAGTAGTCACAAGATGTAGCTTCTAAATTTAAGATCAGAGTACCGAATTTAATAATCACTATGTCTTTCACAAGAAAATCTAAAAGACATATTTAAAAATCTTTCCTTTTTATATACAAGATAAAGGGAAAAAAGAAACATTCCACGAATTTTTTGTAAAACATTTGGAAGGTTTACTGTCTCGTCAGTCATACTTCGTGAACTATCTATGAGATTATGTAAAAAGAATACAGAATCCATATATTCCAACGATTGGTAGCATCTAATATTTTGTTTTCATAACAACAACATATATGTGAAATGACTTCATGTGTAAAGCATAAGTGGTGTATTCAATAGTATCAGTCGTGCATACGTCCAGTTAATATAATTTATGATACATAATCAACTTCAATCTTTTATAATATTTCCTGTATACGAATACAATTCCATTAAATAAATTTATACAGGTTTTTTGAATACCTTAATTCATTGAATTACGCATGAACTATATGAAGTTTACAGTACTACAGAAGAATTTAGCTGTCAAAATACTACTGAATTCACAAAACTTTCTGTTACGAGAACTGTCATTTCTTATCAACGTGATTAGTTTAATGCACCATAAGACTGGAAAAACTGAAGTGTTTACTTACTCCAGAATATTAAATATTTTTCTGTAAATAGATAAATTCATCTGTTATAACAATAAAATAGAGTACAACGTATATACAAGTATTTTCCGTTGAATGTTTCTATTAAGACAAAATTCCTCAGTTTATTTAATAAAACTATCAAAGAAAATATTAATCATTTGATGTAAAACAGAAGAATTTGTATCAACTAGTGATTCTTCAATTATCAGAATGAGATGGTGTTAATCTACTACTCATGAATAATCTTATTTCATTTTAGTTTCATTGAGATTAATAAATTGAATTACATTTTATGAATATTAACACAGGAAATTATATATTTCTCTGATCACAACTAATCATGTGTTTTCAGAATATATACATGAGCTATTCGTTAGTTCAAGGTAAATGTTTCTTTGTATTATTAGCATAATTTCATAAAATCTTATTTCCTTTATTATAAATCTTTGCTAAATGATAATCGCGCGTAATTATTTCATAAAAGTTTTTTTTTCTCGATGAATCATTAATCGATTTAACGATGATATTTATTAATAAAATGAAACCAACAATGCTGTTATCATCCAGTGTAGCAGCAACAATTACTGAACCTTTCAATACTTACACGTTGGTAAATTGTTTATAAAAATTAAATATTCTTTTTTTTGTCGAATATAGACTTTCATTCAAATGATTGATTATTGCACTATTAAGTCATATTTCATTGACTTTTTTGGCAAATATTAGTCTTCGCTTTTTTTTTCATGGTTAAATGAAAATAAATCGTAGGAGTTAAAAGTATATACACACACACACATATACCCTTCTGGCAATTAGGCAGCATATTTGTTATTCTTCTCTCCTTTAACAACATACGCTATTCTTTTTGTTATAGTGGATTTGTATTTTTTTTTCTTCTTCTTCATCATCACATTTGAAAGGTAAATGTTGTACTGTATAGTTGTCTTCGAATGTAATTGTGTCAGTAGTTATTCCTTACAGTCCATATATGTCATGAAATGAATTATATTATATGTTGTTATAATCAGAAAAGTATCTGCATGCCAGGAGATATTTTTCTGTATATGAGTAGATGATAAAGACTAGAAATCATCATATTTTGGAAGAAAAAGTGTCTACATGTGATTCAATGTTTATGAGAAATGATATAAAGGTTAGAGGACGAAGTCAAACTTACAATATGATAAAACGTGCCAAGTCGAAGACCAAAAGAATCAATAAGATGAACTATTTTTTCTTTCTCTTCTTCTTCTTCTTCTCTTTCTCACACTATAGTTGTGATTACTGGTGACTAATAATAGTATATAGACTAGACGATTATGAACTGGAATAGAATAAATGTTAGTGCACATATCGATAAATTCAGTACTTTGAGTGTATCGCTATTATTTCTGTTTACATAACAAATATATAAACGAAATTTGAGAAAGATATGAGACGTACATCTTCATCTACATCAGCACGTTTTTCACGTACTTTTGATAGGCTAATGAATCAAGTAAGACAAATAAAATGTAATTTTAAAAAACTCTGTTATTATATTTTAGTTTCCAGATTCGATACAAGCATCAACCTTATTATCTGTGAGTTTTATTTTATTTTCATTAGATATGAATCATGATGAGAAAAAAAATAGTTGTCTCTAGTTTTTTTCCCCATATTCATTGTGTTCATTCCGCAAACTTTTTTTCTCTCCTTTCTCCAAGTTCATTCATCGGCGAAGAAGAAAAAAATGTTTTATTTTATGATAATACGCTACTCATATATTTTTTATTCTCATTGACTCCAATGATCTTTACAGTTAACCCTACCGTGAACAACGCATTTATTGTGTTATTTTCTTTTTGAGATAAAAAAAAAGAACGCATCGGATTTCTAATAATAACACTCTTTTTTTTCATATAAATAATATTTAATATTCTAGGACATGGCAGCGAATAGAGGTGGTTATCAATCTTCCACGTGGGATGAACAAAGTGCTTATAAACCAACACAATGGCGATCAACAGTTTCAGCACCTTCATGTG